AGCTGTTATATTAGGAACAAGACAATTTAAACAATATCTTTATTTAACTAAATTTTATTGCATAACTGACAGTATTGCATTAAAATTTACGCTAAATATTAAAAATCCCGTTTCAAAATTAGCTCGCTGGTGTTGCGAACTACGAAATTTATTCATGGAAGTTATTTATCGCAACACATCTGCACATTCGAACGTTGACAGCTTATCTCGCTTAATCTCAATCAATCAAATTCAAGTTAACGAACCAACCATAATTTGGAGTAAAGATTTAATTAAAGAAGAACAATTAAGAAATCCACAAATCAAAAAAATAATTAAAAAATTAGAAGAGTCACAATATATTTTAGAGCAACCTGAATATTTCTTAGATTCCGGTAAAATATTATACAAATCGCCGCAAAATTTGAGAGGTCATGCTCAAATTTATGCGCCGCCTTCTTTAGTAAATGAAATTCTTAACAAATCACACAATAGCCCTTGGTCAGGCCATTTAAGTCATGAAAAAACGTTGTATAAAATAAAATCGCAATTTTATTGGCCGACAATGAATTCTGACTGTGAAAATTATTGTAAAAGTTGTACAATTTGTAATAAAGTAAAACTCAATAAAAGAATAAAGAAAACACCTCTTGTTGGTTACTTGAGAAATTTTGGAGTTTTCAACACTTTACATTTTGACATTTTTGGTAGAATTTATCCGCCAAGTGACAATTATTGTTATATTTTAATAGTAATTGATTATTTGACAAAATATTTAGAGTTGATTCCGCTAAAAAATCAAGAAGCCTACACAATTGCAGAAGCACTAGTAAAAAATGTATTTATGAGACATGGAGTACCACAAAATTTAATTTCAGATCAAGGTTCTAATTTAGTAGGAGAAGTAGTTTCTGATGTTTGTAAAATATTAAAAATAAATCGTGGAATTTGCGCCGCATATCATCAATCCGCGAATGGTCTTGTCGAAAGATCGGGCCAAACAATAAAATCAATCCTAGCAACACTTGTGCTTGAAAAACCAGCAGAATGGATTAACTTCCTCCCATATGTTGCTTTTGCTTATGCCACCGCGCCGCACAGCAGTACAAAAGAGACCCCATTTTTTGCTTTATACCACAGAGACCCTATTTTCCCATTTGATGTAGTTTCCGACCCAGCACACTCGCGAGTATTTTATAATTATGACACGAATTACAAAAATTTGATGATAAAGATGGCAAAATACTCATTACATTTAATAAAAAAATGAACTCATAAAAAGTCAAAAAATTCAAGAAGAACAATATAATAAAAAAGCTGCACCGCGAAAATTGCAAGAAGGAGAAATTGTTTATTTGAGAACTTTCGTAAAACAACAAGGTGTCTCAAAATCCCTTCAGCAAAAATTTAAAGGACCTTATAGAATAATTGGTAGCGATGGTCCTAATTATAAAATAAAAGAAATATATGGCCAAGACACACAGACAGTGCACATTGACAGACTTAAAACCGCACCGCCGAGAATTAGTGTATTTGAAACAAAAGAGATTGAACTGAGAGAGAACTTAAAAAGACAACATGGGCAAGAGCATATACAAAAAACATCTAGCGAGAAAGATGAAAGAGAGATTGGAAATAATTCTGTGTATAATAATATCAATGACATACCTGCTCATCACTTGCACAGAATTTTAAATAAAGAAAAAACTGATGAGAAAATACCCGCACAAGTAGGAGCGGATGATAATAATATTCAGAATAATGACGAAAAAAATTCTGACGACATTGAAATAGACAATGAAAATAGTCAAAAGTCAGGGGGCAGTGATAATTCAGCTTATTTTTCCATTCAAAATACTTCAGATGAATCGAGTGGGAGTGAAGAAGAAATTGATTTTCCATTTAACTTCGACGATGAATTAAATTATAATGTCGGAGAAGACGACGAAACTATTCTTGACATAGTACAAGATTTGCACAACTTTTCACTTTCACCCGACCGAAATATAAAATTAGAGAAACAGTCGGAGGAGCAACCAGCTCAAATTGAATCAGATGTGCAAATTAATCAACCAAGTACCAGCAATGATATTGCTGGAGCACAAAGTTTAGAATTGCAAAATAATCAAAATCCGCAAGTAGAGCAAGATGAGCGTTATCCTCTACGTAGCAGAGGACATCATATAGATAAATTTAATTTATATGAAGGAAGAATTTAAATTATTTAAACATTTTTTTTTTATTATTCCATTATTTATTTTTTTTTTTTTTTAAATTTATTATTACATTATAAGCATTTATTTAAAATTGCTAACTCCTTCATATTTAAAATTGATTATTTTTATAGAAAAATATTTTTATTTAAAATTTATTTTTTTTCATTATTCCTTTTTTATTGCAATCATTATTAATATTTATTTATTTTTTTTTATCTCATTAAAACAGATTTTATAAAAATTTTATTTTATTATAAAAAAGAATTTTTAATTATTTTCTTAATTTTTTTTTATCAGCATATTAATATTTTGATTTCAGCATCAAAATGCTTTTCATTTTCCAACTTTTGCTGCTAACTTCAGCACACTGTGTTCAGCAAGATGATCCATCTAAAGGTATTTACTTCATTGAAAAAGGTGATCTTTTGATCACATCAGACGTTTGGTTTGTACACGTTAATATAAATCTGGACCATTATACTGAACTTATTGAAAATTTTAACAAATCGATTGCTACTTTTTTCAATAAAGTCCGAGAACCCACTGTGCATATACAACAATCATGGTTTGCTAGTGAACAACAACATTTATATAAAGGAACCAAATTTCTAGATGATACTTTAAATGAAATAAAAATCTCAATGGACAATTTTTCCAATAGTAGAAAAAGGAGATATCTTTTTGATTTTGTTGGGGAAAGCATGAAATTTTTATTTGGAACCGCAACCGATAAAAACCTTAAAACTCTTCACTCTCAAGTTCAAAATATAACAAAAAACCAAGAGGAACTAGTTCACCTTTACAAAGAACAATTAACAATCTACAATTTTACATTGGCACAGATGAGTCAAAATGACATCAAAATAAATGCAATGTTAACAGAGCTGAATCATATGGACATGTTGATTGATTATATAAATGGTGAAGTGACTCGGACAGAATTAATGGTCTATAGTTTATCTAAAGAATTTCTTAACTTTGCTTTCATTAGACAGTTTCAAAATTATTATGAAAATTTAAAAGATAAAGTAATGAAATTGAAACAAGCCTACTTGTTTGCATCCGTTTCGATTTTAGATCCGTATTTTTTACCTCATGAGAAATTGATCAAAATAATTCACAATGTTCAAAGCAAATTGTTCTCCTCCAATAAAATTTTAACTTTTGCACAACAAGACAACCTTGAGCAGCTTTACAATTTGGCTCAGATAAATGCTTACGAAGACAAAGGTAATTTAGTCTTATTCATTAATTTTCCAATATACGAGAATAACAAACTTTTTACAGTTTTTCAGCCAAATTCATTGCCAACTAAATTTAATAACTCTGAGATTTATTTTCAAATAAAACCATCTTCAGATTTAATTGCAGTAACAAAAGATTTAAACAGTTACTTTACGTTAACAAATGAAGAATATAACGCTTGTGGACAACACAAAATAAAAACCTGCATCCCTAAAGAAATAATTCGCATGAGCTCGGAACCAAATTGTTTATTTCAATTATTAACTGGGAAAGATAAAAATTTGGATTCAGTTTGTGAAATAATAACCATGAAGCACTTTCAACCACACTTCTTTAGACCGACAGCTGATTCGACGTATATTTATTCAGTCGAAGGAAAAATTTTTCTGAATAAAATTTGCGATGACCCAGCTGAGAAAAATAAAATTCCTGATTTTGTTCATGGAATTGGCTATTTGCATGTACCAAAATCTTGTGTAATTTAAGGAGAAAATTTTATTCTCTATGGAAGCTATTCTGTAAATTTGGGCAATTTTAATTTTTCTCCACCTGTGGAATTTCCAAAAATTTCTTATTTTCCACTGGTTAAAAATATTAACGATAAATTGAGCAATTTTTCTAATACTAATTTGGATAAATTAAACAATTTATATCAAACCAACTCTTCCAACAATAAGTATTATCAGTTGAAAATTGAAACTCTGATGCATGAAATTAATAATTTAGAACAAAATAAAGATTTCCTTTGGTACCCTCATTATGTAAAACAAAATTCTTATATAATCTGGTTTACTCTTTTTATTATATTTTTAGTGGGAACTTTTGTTTTCATTAAAATGTGCAAGTTTGAAAAAGGTTTAATTTTCAAAAAACCTAAAGCGCCTACCATTTGTGCTCTACAAAATATTCCTTCTGCGCCTATAAAATTAATGGCCATGCATGCTGTTGACAAAGAAATCAGCAACCCCACTCTCAATGTCTACCAACAAGTTAAGCCTGAATGTGAGACACAATTTGTATGCTCACAAGCCCCAAATGAAGGAGCAAGAAAAAACAGCGCATCCTTCATAATCTAATTGAAAATTTTATTTTCAGTTATTTAGAGAAAAACAACTCTCCGAAAGGAAAAACACTTCTTCAATTTTAATTAAAAAAGGAATACACCTTTTGATTTGATTTGTTTTACATTCCTTTCATTTAAAAGATTTTTTTTAATGAAGAAGCTAATAAATTAAAATTATTTTTTTATATTTTTTTTCCTTATTTTTATTAAAAATCAAATTGAAATTGATTGAAATATTTTTGTTTCTCAATCACTAAAGTTATGATTCATTTTGAATTGATGCAACTTTTTTTTTATTTTTTCATAAAATGCATTTAGTTTATTATCAACTCAATAAAAAGTACATGAAACATAGTTATCTTTTTTTTTTATATATAACAGAAAATTCTCAATGTAAAATCACCTAGAAGCACATTAATATTATTTTACATTTCAGCATATTGCAAAGAGATGAAATTAGATAATAGTTGAAATTTAGTTTGTAAATGGGCAAACATTTAAATTTTAGATTTTTCTTTTAAAAAAGCCAAAATAAGGGTTAAGAAAAATATAATTTTATCAGTGTTAATTTTAAGAATTTGCAAAGAAGAAAGTGACAGTGAGTGACAACTACAAAAACACTAACTTTGTTCAAGTTAAAAATAAACTTTGACATTTTTGGTTTTAGCTAGTAGCTAATAGCAAAGAGTAAATCCTTTCCCTCCTTAGAAGTGACCACGTCCTCCGCGACCACGATGGTACCCGCCGTGTCCATGGTAAAACCCACCACGAGCAGGAGGCACAAAACCACCTCGCCCGAAAGGCAAGCCGCCATGTCCACATTGCTGACCACCGCGTCCACGGTTGGGACGGAAAAACTCTGCAGGACCCTGCCCTTCACCCATGAATACATAATACACTTGCTGTGGGTAAGGCATCCCCCCGTACATAGGTCCCGGCTGTCCGAATTGCTCCGTCTCTTCGTCAGCACCAGCCTCGTCTGAATCCTCCGTGTCCAACTCGTCTTCTTCACGCCGACCTGGGCAGCGAGGACGCAAAGATGCAGATGGTTGACAACCCATCCTTGGTTGCCCTCGTGCAGGTCGATCACCTCCAGCTTGAGACGATCCGGCGCCGCGCAACCCTCTCTCCTCTTCCAACACCGCCGCGCGACGTTCTTCGCCCGCAGCAGCAGCAGCCGCAGCTCCATTGGCCGCACCAACAGCACCGCCTTGAGCACCAGCACCTCCAGCAGGAACAGCAGGATTTGCTGCAACAGCTAAAAACAAATTTTTATTAGTAAAATTTTCAAATATTTAATTATTTTTCTTTTCTCACCTGCCGGATTATTGACATCAGCCCTCCAAGCCAACGCAGTGTCCAGCTTGTCCATCAGCTGCATCATTGTCTCATGGACCTCCGTACCAGTCACCTTGTTTGAAATGACATCAACCACCTGGTCGAAAAGCAAATTATCCGGCACGGTTTTCAAAACTAAAACATATACACACACAAACATATAAAACTGACACAGCCATAAAACAATGAAGAACATTTATTATTTTTTTTTTTTTTATTAACTTTTAAATTTTATTAAATTTTTTTTTAATTTTACACAGACAAAAAAAAATATACTCACATCCTGGCATTTGCCGCCAAGCAGCGATGGTGTGCTGCGCCTTCCCAATCATGGTCTGTGGAATGAACTCCGAGGAGTACCCGCCAAACATACTGTTGTCGTGTGGAACGAAGCTCAATCCGCCAATCTGCACAGCATCGAACTCCAGGTTCACAATAGCACCAGACTGCACCAGCTTCATGTTGCAGCCCTTGTACGGAAGCATCTCAGGTTTTTCAAAACGCCGCAGCACAGCCTTTTTGTTTCCGCTGTCAATGAATTGGTGCACCAAACAATGCCCTCCAGCCAAGTCCGAAGGCAGCTCGCTTATATGGCCCTTCGCCACATATCCAGTATACGCCTCGAGCAGCACGCAGTCCAGCTTGGAGCCGCACACTACTTCAGGTTTCTCATCGGGCCAAGTTTGCTGAATCGAGCTGAACGCGCGAATCATGAAAGAGTAGAACTTTGCCTCGAATACTTTTCGGCACCCGTTCAATTGCAGCAGCATTCGATCTTCGCCAATTTCACGAATCGCAAATTTGGTGTCAAAATCGCGCACATGCGAAAAGCCATGAGGATCAACAATAGCGCCACACTTGACGTGCGCTAAATGCAACCCGTTCACCCCTTGCACCTTCGAAGGCTTCACCCCTAAACAGAGGTACACCCGCTTCTTCCCAACACTCGCAGCAGCAGAGAGATGAGCCATGTTTACTCTTCAAACGAAAACGATTGAATGACCCAAAGACGCTCAACAGAAGCCCAACACCCTGTTCATCCCTATTTTCCCTTCCCCAATTTGCCTTTCTTTATTACTCAATGCTAGTGCGAACGCTTTTGCCTATTCAAAAACGCCGTTACTGCTCTACATTTTTTAAGACAAAATGTGTGAAGGATATATAACAAAGCGTTTTGTTTGAGTGACTTTTTCCTTGAAGGCTGAAAAAGTGAATTACAAGAAATATTTTAGCCTAGTTTTTACTGACTTTTTCCTCGTCGGCAGAAAATGTGTACAACAACTATGTATTATTTTTTATAATTTTTAGTTTTAAGAAATTAACAAGTTTAATCTAATTTTTTTATATTTTCTCAATATTTTTTTTCTTCTCTATTTTCAATATTTTTTTTTTTATTGGTCGAAAATCTCGTCGTGTTAACACCCAACTCAATTTTGAAAAGGGGATGTGAATATTGAGAGGGCTAGTTTTTAATATTTTTAATAATTAGTTTTTTTTTATTGGTCGATTAATTAGGAGTATTATTTTATATCCTTTAGAATTATATTTAATTTTATATTATATAATTTGGCATGCTAAATTGAGAGATTTAACATTATAAATTGCGAGATTATTTTATTATCAATTATACTCGAGTGTGCGCTCCCTGCTCGTCAAGAAAGAAGAGACAAGTTCGCCGCTCCCCCGAAGTCCGTGCGCCCTACCGGTTTGCTCTGTGTCACATTAATTATCTGTCATGGACGTCACGTGATGCATTCCTAGATTTTAGACCACCCTTATTGGCTTTATTTTTAAAGTTAGGAGGAGTTTTTCTCCTCAAAATTTAGTTCGGGAAAATAAAAATCAGACCTCGTTCACCGGCCGTCAAACGCAGATCTCCAACTACAATTAGCCGTTCAATAAGTTGTAATTGATCTTGTTGAATACAAAATTGTGTCAACCCCAGGCGTGTTCATCCTGCCGCCGCACTCATTTCAGAGAAAAGGTTTGCATATATTTTGCGCTAATTGTTTGCCCATTGTGTGTACTTTTATATATTGTCTTGCTATTATTTTTACTCCGTTCTCTCTCTCCGAATCAAACAAAAAGTTCATCTCTCATAAAAAAAGATATTGTTAGTCTGAGGACAAGGCTCTTCTAGAGGCTTGGGCCTGTTCATTTAATTATAAATTAATATAAGCAAGACAGGAAATTAATTCTCGCAATTAAAATCCATCTCTCAATCAAATTTACTTTGTATGTTAATTCATAAATCATAGTTATTTGTAATATTAAAAAGAATATTTACAGTGGAAACACAACATACTAAATTAATTAATTATTGTGCAATTAAACGAATTGAATATTTCAAAATAATTAGCTAGCAATATTAATAGTTATTGAACATATATCAATACTTGATTATTTTATTTGTATCAACCTTGCAATCAACAGAATAAAAATCCTCTAATTTCACTGTAAGAATTAGCCAATTTAAATTGACAAATAAAATCCTTTAGATATTAAGAAATTGAAACACAGCAATTTAAAACTTATAAATAAATAAGACCGCTATATAAATTTAATATCTATTTATATCATAAATAACAAAATTGCATTTTAAAACAGACCAATCGATCATTCTGAAAGTTCGTAATCTGACAATATAATTGAGACGTTTAAATTAAATAATTTAAAGCATAACTTTCAATTTCGCTTTCCGTGAGAGCGACGCTTTCTCAAAAGCGCGCCCTTTTGTAGCCGAAGCGCTTGACGACAAAAGCAGGAGAAGCCGCCGCTTCCTTTTCTCACACATCTGGCCAAAACGCACCCACGCTCCGCGTCGCGTTTTGTGTGTATTGACTTTTGTATTACCGCCACTTGATAATAGTTTACATAATAAGCTAATCTCCTTGTGACGTCTCAATAGTATTGAAAGAGGACGGGCGAGCGCGTCTGAATCTGGGGCCGTGCTACATTATTTGACCATTTATAAATATTAATTAAGGAGATATATTTATAAATAGTTAAATAATTAATTAATTAAATTGGCCAACCCCCAGGTTCACGTACGTATTTACACTTGGCAATAATTCCAAAGTGCTTCATCAAGTGCGCCGGGCAAAACGGAGGATTTGTAAAAATAAATAAATATGAAAGATTAAAAACTGTGATGAATCTTTTAAAGATGGTGAATGGAAAGTTGGTGACCGAAGGACTGATAAAAATGGCCGAAATGACGTCCACGAATGACGCCAATCTGCAGCAAAACCTGATCGCCGTGGACGAGTGCGCAGAGTTAAGTGAGTGTTTTTTAATTTTGCACGAATTTGTTCAAAGAAAGATTTTGAATAAATTAATAGAGGGCAAGGACGAGTGCGACACGGCGGCCCTGGTGTACCAGTGCGGCCAGCAAAAGGCCCCAAATCTTGTCGCCAACGTGATCGCAGCGGTCGAATTCAACACGTCGGCCGTAAGAATTAATCAATGTTTTAAATCTACTGGGTATAAATCATTAAATTTTTCTAATTAAATTTTCTAAGTTTAGGGGATTAAATTAATTGATCGAAAATTGCATATCAGCCCAAAAATGAAACTATTATAATTGTTTCAATTTCTCTCTTTCCCTTTCGCCCCGGTTGTAAAAAGTGACGATAATTTATTAGCAAAATGAGAAGTTTACTTTGCCACTTGTTGATTACAATTTCCGACTTGAGGTGGCTTGGATTGAAAAAAATTTTAAAATTTGGGACAGGGGGACGTGCCGCTGCCACCGACGGAAGCGAGGTGCCCCTCGGGATACTCGTGCGTGATTGACGTGAGTCAATTTGCAAAATTTTCACTTTCCATTGACCGCTTTTTCATCAACAGCCGGACAAACGACGCGCTTTTGAACAAAACACACGTGAGAGAAATCGTGATTTAAGTTTCTAATTTAGATAAAATTGGGGCTCTTTTGATTTCAAACTGCTTTTTAGCTAAATTATGTAAAAAAAAAAAACATTTTTGTTTTATACTTAACATGTGTATTTAATGACAATGATAATTAGAACAACTAAAAATAATGATTTTATTATAATTATTAAAAAAATAAAAAAGCAGCGTTGGCCTCGATTGCGTACCACAGGAATGCGTGCGGTGGAAAAACTTACGTTTCAATTGGCGGCTGGGTATATTTAAAATATTTCCTTTATTCCGATCTAAATGTTGTTGATAAATTTTGTTCCTCTTCGGGCAGTACTCATTTGAAGGTGCGGCGAGCGTGTGTTGCCAATTTGGTCTTCGGCTCGTTTCAATCGAAACGATCGACGAGTTCAATTGTCTCAACAGTTTGTTCTCTTCTGGTACGTGTGCAATTAATTTTTTTTCTTGCATATTTATTTCGTTTGTGATGAAGGCGTGGACATGCCGCTGTGGACGTCCGGCAGCAGTTTGGCCAACGTGAACGCGCCAAAGTGGTGCGGCTCCGAGTCGCTCGTCAACGTTTCGGCCTTCAAGTGGAATTTGGCTTCGGGCGGCTCGCTGTCCTCGGACCCCAGCCTGTACTTTGTAGTTTTATTCGTCGCTGCCAACCCAGCTGATTCTCGACTGCTTAATATGGGCAGCAACGTTAATTGGGTTTTTCCTCTCTGCGAGGAATGAATATTAAAATAAAATAAAATACATAAAAATAAACGCAGTTAAAAATATAAAAAAAACACAAACACGTTGGAAATGAACAATCCGGCTTTCCCTCCAAGTAAAATTTTTTGTTAATAAAAAAAAATATTATAACGCTTTCAATATCTACAATAAAATATAGCTAAATAAAAAAATGAGGTCTACATTAACATTAGAAACATACGAGTTTCATAAAAATATTTTGGTGTACATTTTCTCGGCATTTCATCAGTCGAAAAATACCAAGACGAGGAAATAATTTGCTTTCAAAAGGTGAAATGACTTTTTACTTAAATGAAGATAAATTGCAAACTATTGATACTGAATTGAATAAACTTTGAAAACGCGCAATTCTCTTGCTCTGGTATAAAAAAAACATCAACAGATTAAATCGACTATGAACCGCGATGCTCTTTGATACTTAACACCCAGGCCATTTTATTTTGTGCCAAAATTAAAGCCACATGAAAAGTCCTTGACCGCAAAGTAAATTCGAACACGTGCACAATTGACGCTATAGAAATCATCTGTCATCTTTCCTTTTTAATTATTTTTTTATAAACATTTTTTTTAAAGAATGATTTATTTTATATAAATTTATTTCTTCATTCGCATCATTTACAAACAAATCATATGTAAAAATTGACTTCAATAACATATTGCAGACAATTTAGGCGAAGTTGGTTCGCGAGGGCAGAGGGCAGCGATATGTAGAATGGATAAAAAGCGGATCGAGACGGAGCGACTCACAATTGAGTGGAAAGACGCGGACCATGGATCGTTTCATCTTAATGCTTGTTTTGCTCGTCGCCGCCGCCCTGGCCAGCGAATCTTCAACCAAGGTATCAATTTTTTTTAATAAATTAAAAAATTTTTTAATGTAGAGTGGAAAACAATTATTTGAGCAAATATATTTGAAGTGTTATAGAGAAATTACTAATAAGTTTTGAATATTTTCAATCATAAATTTCTGTCCGCTCTTCACTTCAAATAAAATTACATAAGTTGATTCCAATTGAGAATTTAACATAAAATTTAACTCCTACTTCCTTTTTCTTTGGGAGTTCAATTTAAGCCTCTTAATAAAATTCAACAATGGAAGAAAATTTAAGGAATTAAATTAATCAGTAAATGTTACTAATTTTCCAGACTGTTGAATCCACGACCACATCAACTCCGTCCAAATGCTCTCTTGCTCTTGGTAATTTTTTTATAAAAAATAAATTAATAATTTATAAATACATTTTAAATTCCAGGTTCGGCCGAGTTGACGACGCTGGCCAACGGCAAGAAGTACTTGTTTCCCGGCATCAGAGTAAATAAATTGTTTAAATAATTTTTCCATCTGATTTTGATTTTTTGCTCTCCCGTAGAAAAGCTGATTCGAAGGGAACGAAACTTGCGCCAACAAAGGTCTGCTCATGGCCTCGATCAGCAACCAAATGGACGCGGATGTAGTTTCGGCCGAGGCTGACAGAACCAGACCTGGTGAGAAGAATATTGGTTGTTATAATTGTAAATATTTAATTTTTTTGGCCGAAATTTGCAGGCAACGGTTTTTGGGTTTCGGCGAAAAAGTCGAAAAGCTGGAGCGAAAGGGACTTCCGTTGGCACGACGGCACCAAGCTGGAGTTGGACAGTCCCTTGTGGGGGGACGAAGCGAACAAGATTAACTTCGACTGCGTCTTCATCTACCGTGGCAAACTGAACACTCATTTCTGCATCAATGGATCACCGTTCTTCGTTTGCGAGCTTCCCAGAGAATGCTACTGATTGATCCATAGCATAAGCGTTTAGAATTTTGTTAAAATACTCGCTTGCCTGAAGGTGTTTATAATAAACACGCTTGTTTAAGAGAAACAATAAATTGCTCATTATTTTTCCCTACAAAATAGTAAAAATTTATTCACGCCGCCGAATGTTCGTTCAAATATCTCGTAAGCTGATTTAAACAAGAGTTTCGCTATAAAATATTAATCAAAATTAACTTACCTTGATCTTTTTGTTGAAAATTCCTGAAACAGACCAAATGATGAATGAGCAAATGATGATCGACTAGCAATTAAATTTATAAAACTATATTTCTCGGCTCAGTTTGGCTCAATCTTGCACTTTCTGCGGAGTTCAGAAGTCGACTGTGACCTCTCGGCAAGTGTCTTTTGAACCGCAAAGCGTCCGACGCGGACGATTTCGGACACCAAAGAATGACAGATGCGAAACGATCTTGTCGCGAATCGGAGTGAAACTGAAGGACAAAAAAGTGTTTGTAGGCGTGACGTGTACCATGAGGTGTTGTGTATATGAATGAATTAAATACAAACTTTTCCATTTTAAATGAAAGGCGCACGAATATGAGAATTCTGTTTAAATTCAGTTTTCAATTTTCAATATTCTTTTGTGGAATAAATCGGGCAACTTCAATTTACTGCAGCTTTTAATAATTCTGGAAGCCCATCACGCTTTTCTTACAAAATTAATTCCTTTAAAATCCAAAATTGTAGACAAACTTTAATATTATTCTTCATTTAAACATATTTACTTTTTTTGTAGTAGAAGTTCACGATCGAGGGTTGATTCATGGTGAAAAACAATATTGTTTTTCTTAAACAATAAAAACTCACGAAAAACCATAGAGCAAAAGTCGAATTTAAATTCAAATCACCATATTTAAACTTCTTTCGCCTCTTGAGGTAAAAAGATAACAAAATTGCCTTTTCGCTGTTTTGCCTTTTTTGTCAACCCAACTCTGCTTTTTTTTTTCAAGAACGCTTTTTCAAAATGATAAAAAGTTAATTAGCTCCTCAGACAGTATCACGGCAGTGCCCATTATTAGCCGCAGCAATTAAATATGAAACATACAAAGGAAGCGCAACAATCAAAATTCTTAACTCCACCTTTTTCCTGCTGACCTCTTTTTGGTGAAGCTGAAGACCGAAACTTTTGTTTACAGAACATTTTGAAATTGTATAAATCGATGAAAAATAAATATTAGTTTTTTCTTGAAGCTCCTCATGAGCAAATTTTACTAGACCATTTCCAGGTGCATCAAAATCGACAGTGCTGCCAAAAAGTGTTTAAATGCATTCGCTTGATTGCAATACATGTTTATTAACATTTTATAGATCTATTTTTATTAACTATATGTTTAAAAAATTCACATAGTTTTCTGAAATCTTTCACAAGTTTAATAAATTAAAAATAGGCATATGATGGACCAATTTCATCTTTTATCGTTTTGATGATATTGATTTTTTTTAGAATGGAGTGTTAAAATCAAGTGTGCCCTAATTATGCAGAAACGAGCTGAAGAAGTGAAAAATTTTGTTGCCAGAGTCATGTAAATGCCCTAAATTGAATGGGCTGCTATCTCGTTTCTTGCCGGAAGTTTTCAAAAACTCGGCGGCAACCAAACGTTGTACTGAATTTTTACCTTATTGAGCAAAACTAAACATTCAACAAAACCTTTAAAAACTTTCAATTTCCACCTGTAATCATTACAGGTACAAAGAAAATTTGATCTTTTTGGCAAAAAAAATCTACCCACTTAATTAGGGGTTGAACGTTAAAATTAATATTATGTAGTGGGTGAATTTCAAATTAAATTTCGTTCAGATACTTCTTTGGTGAAGAACTTCAAAATAATTTTTTTTTTTAATATTTCATATAATATTTTGTGTGTGTTACTGTTATGTAATATAATTGGTGAAAAAAAAACTCCTTAAAAAAAGTGTGCTAATTACATTATTGCAGTTCAGTTGAAGGAAGAACCCAACATATTTCATTATATGCAAGCATGGCAGTGCGGTCATTTTTTTTTCTAGTAATTGATATTGTAAAGCACAAACACCGAGTCATGTGACATGAATAAATACTGAAAATGAAACTGTTTTCTCCAGCATAATATCAGCACTTTTTTAAACTTTCACCTCATTTCGCAGCACTTCCTGTCTCGGTGGCGAGCGGGCCCGGCTGCTTTTCCTTCAAGGACTTGAAAACACATAATTTTTCGAGAGATACCAATTTAAACAAGTGTGACGCATAAACGTAGCAATTTTATTGTGAATGTCTTATCTCCCCTACGCCCGATGAACGACCTTTGGAAGGTATAAAACACGAGGCAGCAATTGGAACTTTAATTATTACCTTTCCAGAAGTCTTGAAGACTCGAACTTGAAATGCTCGTCCTCGTTCTCCTCGCCTTTCTCTTCACACGTAAATCTTTCATTTCTGTTTCGATTTTCGAATTGAAAAATGGTGTTTTGCACAGCCTCGCTGGCCACCTTCGGACCGACGGTGACCGCCAACTGGGCTGGCCAGTTCCCCTACGTCGTGAGTACTTTTATTTTTGTTCAGGGCCGATTCACTATAACGAGAGAGTCTGCAAAGGTCAACTTTCAAAACCCGAGCAGCACAGTTGAGCGCACCGTGACCGGTTTAGTTTTGAGCTCCAAAATGGCGTTGGTTTATCAGTTTTTAACGTAAGTTGCAAAGTGTTTGAAAGTTTATTGATGTCCAAACCAATTGTCCTGCAGTCCAGCTACCATCAACTTGTTCACGATGACCGACTACGCCCTGGGGGTGCACTCGGTGGTCAAGTTGGTCGGGACTGCTGCTGGAATTTACAATGTGGTGAAAACGTGCAAAGCCTTTGGCCCGGCCCGATTCAATTTGACCGCGAGTGAATTCTACACTTTCTCGGCCGACACTTCCGACGCCGCCGTTATCTTCTTCCACAACAATGTGAGAGTTTTCCATCATTCGTTTACACTTATTTCATATTTGCAAGAAAGTAGTGAATTCCACACCTGGACGAAATTATAATGCCATATTTTCAGCTTTGATTTTGTTGCCAAAAGTAAATCGACAGAAACAGAGGAACCTAAAAACATTGGCAATTATGGTTAGGAAATATCTCTGCACATTTAAAAGATAAGAGAAAATCAAGCTCCAATTGAAGTCTGTATAAGTGAAAAGTATGTTTATTTTGATGAAAAATCAACTCCTTTTTGAGGTAACAATCAAATTTAAATGGCTTTTAATTGAAATTTTCAAAACCATTTGTTCAAAATTTGAAGGTTTTTTGCTAGTTAAAAGATTATAAGAACCAAATCATGAGCTAAGAAAATATTATGTGTTTGCATAAATTAAATCAAAGTGCTCAAAATTAACTTGATATTTTGGAAACTCGAAAATTGGATAGAACCAAAATTTTCAACTTATTTTCTCAAAAATTGACACGGTGACCTCCCAAAATTGTGTTGTTATTGAAATGATCCTAATGTCTAAATCATCTTTAAAGATTGTTCAATACTTTTCACGAAGACAAAATAAACAACAACATAATATATGAGAAACCGTAAATTTCCAAAATTAATACTTCGAGTTTTGAGCAGGCTTTGCTGTCCAAGTCGACGACGGCACTGTCGGACGCAAACTGCGACGCAGCATTGAGCGCGGGAATCTCTGCTAATCAGGCGTGCGTCGCAACGGACTCAACGCCTGGTATTTGCACGGTCTGCATTAATTTCAATCTTGGCATCCAAAATCTCAAGTGCATTTAACTCATGTTCTGTAATTTTGCGTACGCAGACGTACATCAAAGACGCCGCAACCTACGAGTGGACAGCAGCGTTGGTGGTGCAGGGCCGAGTGCAGGGCTTTTTGAGCCGAGGAAATTGCAACATGGCAGGCGACAACATCTTACCAACCCAGTTTGACAAGATTGTTGTCAGACGCCAAGACATTCTCGGCATTTCAGGCATTGTCGTCGACAATCCTTGAGCAACAATTCACAATTCTTTTTTCTCCTGTAACTTTCGAACTCGGAAGCCAACATGATTTGTGCAATAAAAAACACGCGTGAATTTTCAGTGGGTTTTTTTTCTTGAGACCAATAAAACAAAATGCTTTGATTAGGAATTGCAGAGGCGTAGAATTTTTTCTACTTGAAGAGATTTAGAAATTTCAAGTTCAATAAGAATAAAAACAGAAAAAGAATCTTTTACTTTCCTAAACCCAAGCTTTGTATCTTCTCAACCCTTTGATTTAAATTTTTTTTAAAGATTTTGTAGCAAGCTAGAGCCTAATTGTGAAATTGTGACAAGGTTTTCCTTTTAATTTGCAGGGTTGGTGCAGTTTTCTCACGCAAATAAGACTAATTAGATCTATATGAGAGTAAAAATTATGACCAGCCAGAAAGATGAGTTTCTCTTTGTAAACCTGAGAAACAATTTGGACAAATAAACAACAATAATAATAATTCTGAATTTTGAACATCAGAAATTTGCGATTCATTAAAAATCCTCATTGCCATGAAGTATATTAGAAAAATTAAATAGTATTTGTGTTGACAAAATCCACTTGCATTTAAGTTTTGATCGTAAGAAACATCTTTTTCCTCAAAACAAAACGCAAATCAGAGCTACATATGCAATGAAACCATCTTGTTTTATTTGCCTAAATTTCTGTGAAACAAATTTTTCGGTCGCGTTCTTCACGTCGACCGCATAAAAAACAGGCCGGTATGAAAAAAGAGGGAGATAAGAATTATTTGTGCACAACCGCGCCGTTTTTAATTACTGACTTGATTGCATTGTTCGTCAACGCTGGGCTAATTAATTTTTATCGTTTAAATAGCGAGACCATTTAGTTGAGCAGTGTGACAAGGAAAAGCAAGTAAAATTATAAATTTTTTCGTCATCATACTCATGCGGCGAGGGTTCAATGACCTTCAAAAACTAATATTATAAAAAAACCTTAAATTTATTGGTTCATTACAGAATAAACCAAATTTCACGAGCATACCACGAGATTTTGTGGTAAGAAGACAAAAAACTTTGGCAGCATCTATAAAATTATAACTTTTCATTAATATTAAATTGTTGTTTTTTTGTTTACACTCCATTGTTGAAAACAATTTAACTTCGTTTTGCTCCAACAATGCAAAAAAAGTGTATTCATGCATCCCAAAATTGGCTTAAAACTTGTTAAAGAAGAGAACTTTTATCAAATGGTTGTTTTATGCTTATCAAATTTTTTGTGTCTCGGTCGAGAGGGCACCGGTCAGTGATAAAAGGCGTCCTTATGATATTTTCACGTCTCAATCATACAATCAAGAGAGCAAAACTGAGATGCTCCGCGTGTTGATGCTGTTCATCCTCGCGTCCGTCCTGGCCGAAAATTCGGCAAAGGTAAACATACCAAATTTTATAAATATCAATTTCAATAAGCAATCATATTAAACCATACTTTTATTCACTGATTTGAAAAGAAACCAAATTTGCACGTTGAACGGATTCTCAATTTCTCAATAAAAAATTGGAATTTTTGCTCAAATATTCAGAATTTGTTCGGAAAATATAATAAGGGCGATCCAAAAGGCTAACTTGGCCCAGGCTAATTTGACCTGGCCTGGGCTAATTTAACCCGCCATTCAATTTTGCTGGGGGGCTAAGTTAGCCCGGGGCCAAGTCAAGTTAGCCTGGGCCAGGTTAGGCTTTTGGATCGCCCTCAATGAAATTTAATTATGTAATAAAAAAGCATATTATTTATTTTAAAACCATTCAATTATTATCGAGAAAAATTAGGGGAGGTGGGGGGAGCACAGAATGACCAATTTTCCGTGCGTGATGAGTTTTGAAATATGGTGTAATTTTTTTTTATTTTCACAATAAATTTACAGACGCGAGAATTGGAGATGCTGGAAGAGCTGACAAAGAACTGGAATGAGATGAATGAGAAGCTCAATCGATTGTCACAAATTGTGTACGATCAGGTAAGTTTTTGATAAAAAAAAGCACCTTTTTCTTTACAAAATTTGAAAGCCACATTAGCTTTAATCTTAACATATTTGCAGATGAGAAATTTCAACGAGTCAAACCAAAGATTAAATGATTTGGCTGCCGTCGCTGAAAAACGCCAAAATCAGGTTTAATCAATAAAAATTTCCCAATTTTATCGAATCAAATTATCTAAAAAATCCCATAGAATTTTGAAGAACTAAGTCAAAAGTTGGGGAATTTGGCCACGCAGCAGCAACATGAGGTTGAAATTGTAATTTAATTTGTTATTAATTTGTAAGCTTTTTTGGCATTTTCCAGCATGATGCTATAAAATTATCCATCAAGTGTTTAGGCAGTAAGCGGCAAAATTATGAAAGAAAAATAGAGTTTATATTATTTGAACATTCCAGAATCAGCAAATTTGAAGACGCTGTCCAACGGCAAAAAGTACTCTTTCCTGCACGTCACTGCTGTAAATATTAATATTTGATTTTTCCTAAAAGGCTGTAAAGGCCTTTATTGAAAAAAATTATGATCGCAGGTGAACTGGACTTTGGCAAACGAGACTTGCACCAATTTGGGCTTAAACTTGGCCACGATCAGAGATCAAAATGAGGCAGAAGTGGTCGCGGAAGAAGCACAAAGAACTAATTACCGTGAGCCGACAATTTTGATTATTTTTCGCCTGCAAGTCTAGAAAACAAAGTTTGAAAACCTTAACTTCAATTGGACAATTTTCAGCTCTAACCATTTCTATTGTTTGAACAAAAGTAAAGTTGTTGTCATTTTTCTATTGGCTTTTGAGCTGCAGATCTTGAGAAAAATATTTTCTTGGAGAAAAAAAATGTAATAAATTTATTTCTGCACACATTTTGTATTTAACAATTTCTTCTAAATTCAAGGCGACAAAAGTTATAAAGGCGGAAAGGTTGATTTAAAACGTTAATTGCAGACAACGGTTGGTGGGTTTTGGCGAGAAATTCTGGGGAGGACTTCCATTGGCAGGACGGGACAAAATTGGAGTTGGACAGTCCGTTGTGGAAGGACGGCGCGGACAAGTCACAGGACTGCGTTCGCATCTACAATTGGAACGGCGGCAAGCTGGACAGTTTGAGTTGCGCCGAATTGCGCTTTTTCATTTGCGAACTTCCCAGCGACTGCTACTGACGTGAATTTGAAAATTAATTAATTAATTAATAAAAATCTTACCGAAATTTTGTAGTAAATATTTGTTAAATGGTATAGAATAAAAATTTTCATAAAGTGATTTTGTTAAAAAAGATATTAATTTTGTTTATTACAAATTTATCATATAATTTTACAATATATTTTGTACTTTATATTTTAGTGTTTGTTATTTACATACATTTGTTTTAATTTCCAATAATTTTAAAAAGTATTAAGAATTTTTAATACATATTGAGCTATTTAAAACTATGTAGATATAAGATTTTTCGTTTATTAATAAACGAAAAATCTTAATATTTTGTTGCTCTTCTGTGCCACTCGCTTGATAATCATTTCATGAAGAAATTGGGCCAACTTTTATCACTGATCTGTGCCCTCTGGTCTGGCAAATGTGACGAGGAAGCAGACGAGAGAATTACCGCAACAATTAATATCAAATTTTGAACCGAGCCATTTTATTATAAAAAAATCATCTTTTTATCGCAGTTTTTTTAAGCAAATTAAATTTTAAATATAATATTTATTAGTATTAATATTATTTATATTAATATTTATTTATCTTAAAAAAAATTTGGGGGCAAAATTTGTAATTTTTTTTTTTTTTTTTTTTTTTTTTGGAAAAATGTTATTTTGCTTTTTTCTGAAGATAGGTTTAATTTTCCAAGGGAAAAGCAATTTTTATTGATTCAATACACTTTAAATTTCCTGAATGCATCAATCTCATTTTAAATACAAATTTCCTTGTTTGTTTTCCTCGTCAGAATTATCACATCGAGGGGGGCAATTACATAAAAAGCGTGCTCGCATCACTCGTGGCATTCACAAATCCCACAAGAGACGACATGAACCGACTTTGGCTGCTGCTCGTCGCGTTCCTTCCCGTGGCCCACACCGCCATCCAGCAAATTGAACATCAATTTGAGGTAAAAAAATTTTTTTTTTAAATTAATTTTATTTTGCTAGGAAAAATTCTTTGTACAAATTTATAATTAATGTGACAATTTTGGAAAAAAAATAATATCACCAATGTGCTAAGCTATTGGGGATTTTTTTTAGAAATTATAAATATTTTCATAAAAATTCATGTTCACAAAAGTGACCTTGAACGTTGACCTGCGACCTTGGGTAATATAGCAAAGTCGTCTCATTTACAAGAACTTTGGGCATTTCACATTTTTTTCTAACAGAAACCGAGATATTTTCGATCTTCAAGTAAGTGCGTTTTTCAGGAGTGCAGTTTGTTTTCAGGAGTGCAGTTTGACGAATGCGGTGGAACGGCTGCAGCAAATCGGAAACGCGTTCCAAGTTCACGTAAATATGATTAAAATTTCTTCAAGCTGAATTCTTAGTAAAATATAATTTAAATCGCAAGTTGGAGAAGGTGAAGAAAGCGGAGGAGAAAATTTCGACGCAGCAAGCGCAGATGCGCAACTTGGTCGACGGCATGTTGGAAAAACATGAAAAGTTGGAGCAACTGGTCAAGGTCAGCTCGATCCTAATCTGTTAAATTATAAAGAAAAAAAAATGCTTCCAGAAATCTACTGAAAATTACAAGGCGATGATGGGGAAAATTTCCAGTATTATGCAAAAGTCAGAGGAATCGGTAAAATTTTACAAATCATTTGAGAAGAAAAAATTCTAATTTGAAAAATTCCAGGTGTTGAAAAACAGCGTTGGGAAAATTGAGGAGTTGAAAGAGCAGATTTCGCAATTGACGGAGGCGGAAAAACGGAGCAACGAAACGGCCAAACACCTCCAACAGCAGGTACTGAACTCGTAAATTTCTGGGAATTTGTTCGATTTTGAACTGGATATTTCAGATCGAGACGCAGCAACTTCAGATTTCGAAATTGTCTGAGGAAAAGTCCCGCATTGAGGAAAAAGCGCAACAATCGAATAACACTTGCAATTTTGTACATTTTTATTAGAGTTCTTTGGAAAATGTCTGATTGAGCGAGAATAATATATTTCAGGTAATCCAGACGAAGGATCGCCTTTTGAAAATTTGGAAGGAAGCAAGTGGCGTCAAGTTGAAAACCGAGCAATAGGTAAATTAATTTTTTGACGGATTTTCTTCGCCACAAAAGATTTATAATTAACTTGATTTGTGAGAATTAAAAGCTTTTTTTAATAAATTTCAACATTTTTTCCATCTCTTGAGTACGATATGCTATTTATGTTTCAGTTCAGGCCTTCAAACAGAGCCTACAAGAACAATTCATTTATTGTATTTGTAAATTTCCAAAGAAGTTGCTTTGGATCTGTAGAATTTCAAGAAATAAATTGTCCTTCAAAATGGCTTTTGTGTTAACAAAAATTATTGAACACCTCCACCTGATTCATTCACAGCCTTTTGAAGGTAAAAATTTAAATAAAACCCTCAAATTAGTGCAGATTTTACATTTTTATAACTGATTAAATCCCTAGGAAAAAATTTTCTGATTTTAGTTTTTAACGGAAAATTTATCTTGAAACTGGAAATAATAGCTGGGCTATGTTATCCTCATCACGGTTTATTTTCTGGTTAGGTCATGGGTCAGAGCTGATAAAAAAGGCGTCTGCAATTATTTTCATGTAAAATGCTAAGCTCAATCACTCGGACCCAGTGAATGATTCATAAATGTAATATGCCCCTCTGATATCAAGTTAAATAATTTTAACTTTCAAGTATAAGACTGCATAGAAATGAAAAATTCTTGAATTTTCTAGAAGGTAGAAAGCACACATTTTAAATGAATTGCTTCACTTGCGAAGAAAAAAAATGATGATTTTTATGAATATTTCCACAAAACACGCTGCAGAAGCTGGGCGATTAATGGGAAGCTCAACCTAGTAAAATAATTTAAATTTTCATCGACTTTGGTGAAATTGAAATCAAAGCCAATCCCCAAAGTGCTGGTCAGTTGTAAAATGATATAATACAAAAATTCACCTCCCGAATTTTAAACAATATTTATATTTGGCGAAAATACCATCAAGGTGGCTTCAAAAGAACAAAAGATAAATAAATTAGGAAATATATTCAATTTTCAGACCAACCAAACGTCAGTATATATCTTGCTAATAAAAGGTTTTTGGTCCACCTATGAAAAAACTTAAATTGTAAGTACTTTTTCTCTTACCTAAATAACCGACCCGACCCGCGGCTTATTTGAATTTTTATAATTTTACTCAAAAAGACAAACTGGATGGATTTCTGCAAACGAAACTTGAACCCAAATTGGCCACAACCGCAGAGATCAAAATGAGGCAAAGGCCCAAAAGAAATTGTTGGTCAGAACAAAAATTGGCAGAATTTTCATTAATTTCTGCTTTCAGATAATTCAGATTATGGTTTGTGAATTTCTGGTGAAAACTTTGGAGGTGAAAAGGACTTGCGGTGGCAAGTCCAGTGTGGTTGTTGGTCGCTGCACTTTGTCAAAAAAAGTTATTATTATTCGATGGCCCGAAATGATTTTAAAACTAGAAAATAGCAGCTGCAGGAATGTGAGCGGAAATCTCTAAGATGTTATAATAAAAAACCACCATTTTTTAAAGGAATACATTCTTTAGTTGAAAAAGGATTTTTTTTTTAATTCAAATTTGTGTCAATTTTGATAAAATTAATTGCTTGCAAGGAATAACGGTAAAAAGAAGTAAGCCGCAAGTTCAGCATTCAATTACGAAGAAAAAAAATTACGCAAAAATTAAAGTCCTTTCTTTATTTTTTCGCGGCCCAGTTTATTTTTTCCTCTTGGGCGGAATTATCAGCAAAAATGCGTCATTGTAATTATCACATTTTCAGAGGTCAAAGATGAGAGTTGACAATAACTGAATCACTCATTGCGCCGCTGAGAAATAGAGGCGATGGACCGTTTTTGGTTGTTGATGGTCGTCGGCCTTTTCACGGCCCAAGTCTGCGACCTCCAACAAATCGAGCATTCAGTGATTCAGGTAAAATTTAACAATTACAATTAACGAGAAATTTAATTCCATTTCTGCGTGCAACATATTTCACAATCAGGAATGCGAATGTGCCAACGGAGTGAAGAGGCTGGAGAAATTTGCCAGCAAATTTGAAAATTGGGTACGAGATTTCAATATTTTACCGGATAAATGAACTCTGCTTTTAGGTTGTGAAGGAGACGGAATCAAAAATGGAAATCTCGACGCAGCTTTCGTCGCTGCTCACGTTGGTTGGCTCTGTTTTGAAAAGGCAAGAAAGTTTGGAGAAGAAATTCGAGGTGAATTTAAATTTCCATCCATTCGCAGCAAATTCCATTTTCACTTTTCCCATTCAGAACTCAGATTCGTCGGTCGAGTGCAAATCGTTGCTGCAGCAAATTTCGAATTTGACCAAAGATGCGGAAACGTCGCAGAAGCAATTCGACCAGATGGTAAAAAAAAATCTTTCAAAAACTTTATAAATTCATTAGTACAAAATTAAATTTTCTTGGTGAATATTTTCATGATATTGCTTGCAGGTGTCAAAAAAAGATGAGGAAATAAAATTGCAGCAGCAGCTAATTTTGATTTTGAAAGGGAAAATTGGAAATTCGAGTGTGGAAAGTGATGAGGTGTACAAATTTTTCAAAACTCTTAATGCGCCATTTAAATAAACTTTGCCCTTCCGCATTTTCAGTTATTGAAAGACACTTCCTGCGAACGAGCTCGTAATTTTTTGAATTATAGTTTTTTACAATTTAACAAAAATGTCATATCGCAGGTTTGGCAAATTTGACGCTGCTGCCCAACGGCAAAAAGTACTTGTTTTCCCACTCGAGCTTTGTAAGAATTTAAGTTTTTTTTTAAATTATTCCCCCTGATTTTCGTCAGGTCGACTGGAATTCCGCGAACGAGTCTTGCGTCAAACAGGGTCTTCATCTGGCCACGATCGTGGATCTGAATGACGCACAAATCGTGGCAAACCAAGGCCAGAGGGTCAAACAAGGTCAGGCGAATTACAATTGGCCGGAATTGAATATACAATTATTTTCAGTTCCCGGATGGTGGGTTTCGGCGAAAAACTTTGCGAGTGGGGACGAAAAGGACTTCCGGTGGCAGGACGGGACCAATCTGGCCCTGGACAGTCCGTTGTGGGTGAACAACGCGGGAGACGAGAAAAGGGGCTGCGTTTTGATCTACAACTACAACGTCGGCTTTCTGAACAGCAATCCGTGCACCAGCGAGCGCCACTTCATTTGCCAACTGCCCGCCGAATGCGACTAGCAAAATCCCAATCAAATTGAAAATTCTTTTGCATAATTCAAACCTTTATTACGAATTGATTCAATAAATTCTAAATATATATATATTGATCAAAATATGTGTGTCTTTGACATAAAATTTCTATTAGCAAAATAATTTTTTTGAGTCTTTATGCATGCAAAACATATAACGAGGAAATTCACCAATTTCCAAGAAAAAAATTAGTCAAAGTTATTAATTTAATTACTTCCCGTTTCAAGTGGTTTCTTTGGGGTTTAAATTCTCAAAAATCTACTTTTCACCCAAACGTATAAAGCGTTTTTTTTTATGCAGACTTACAAGTAGGATGTTGGTTGCATTTAAAAAGCCTTAATTATTAAGAGTTGCCAATAAAAAGCACTAGAAGGATCATATTGAACAATTTCAAAAAGGTCAAATTTTATTTTGCAGACTGTGGACTCTCTGAGAAGCAATTAATTTGAAAACAAAAAGTTGCGGACACTTTGGCAAACCTCGGTCCTTTTGGGTAAAAATCATACAAACTAAGTTCTCTGCGAGCTGTGTTTAAATTTATTTCACACAAACAAAACGCATGATGTGTTGTAGAATCTAGGCTAGGGAGTGATGGCCATGGGTGCGACGGCCACAATTTGGTCGTGGAAGGGTTGCAGGCGGGTGAACTGCAGAGGCGCCGTGTAGCGGTCGGCGGCGCAGTAGACGAGGCCGTAGAGGTTGGCGACGACCACCGGCCCGACCACCAACATCGGCCGCACCACCGGTCCACCTATCCCCAGGGGTTGGGAATACTCAACGTTTTATTCTTTAATTGGCTGACTCGGAGAACGAAAAATAAAGGCAAAATTACGTCGCATGACAACGACGAATTGTCCAACACGTTGCACGCCTGTGTGGCCGGATTGGACAAACCGGAGCAACTGGACGCCGCCGGTACATCAGTTTCGTGGGCTTGAAAAGTCTGAATTTTTTAATTATTAAATTTACAATACTGAAAAATCTTGAATGCAATGGTATGAGTTTTGGAATGCAATATTTAAAAAGGAAATTTGAAATTCTTTTGTGCAAAATCGGTAGCCGGGTTATCAAGGAACACGATTGGGTGTCAAAACACTGGCCAATCTTGTTTTCGTTTACAATTTACAATTAGAAATCAAGTTAGGTTATGTTAAATTTAAAAAAAAAAAGACCCAAAAAAATTATGCTTGTTTACAAAATGAATGGTAACACTTGACTTGTTCTATTGATGCTAAACCAAAAATACGGTTACCCAAATTGGTCCTGCCAATGTTTTCCTTCGATATCTGTGTCAAAGGCAGATACAAGCATGGATACACTTAAGAAAAAACAATTACAAATTGTAAGCAAATTATTCGCTAAAATTAAAGTTTTTACGTGCAGCTTTTTAATCTTTTTAAAGGAATTCTTTTTATCAACTCAACCATAAATTGCTTTAGGTCTCAGTAAACATAATTCATTGAAAAATATTTTTATCACAAAAAGGTTACAGGGCAATAACCTTTTGTTATCAAATGCGTGATACATATGAACGGAAGGACCGAAGGACCTGCAAGTGATTGGGATAATTGTTTGCCCTTGACTCTTACAGGGGAAACGTTTTGGCCACTCTTAAGTTGTTTTCTCATGAAAAAGGTTTGTTCCTTTCCCTTTCAACCTGAACATCTTGAATATGAAGGAAAAAATTGCTCTCGCTTTTTTTTGTTTTGTTATGTTTCCGGTAAGATAAATGCAGATGTATGTGTGAATGAGATGCAGCCAACAAAATAAATGTATCTTTGACGCACATAATCGATGGGATTGAACCAAACGACGCGAGCTCTGACTGCGGTGTTGAAGTTGTGGTAGAGTGACGGCGTCAGCGGCATCACCACGCCCTTGTACTTGAAATTGCACACCCTGAGCACCACCCACGTTGCCGTGCCGGTCACCAGGTGGATTTTGTTAGGTCGCCAGCTGTTCCCAACCACCGGGTCAAGGGACACGACCGAAACAAATATAGGATTCTTCGATCTGAAAATAACAAACGAAACAATATCTGCGCAAGGCCTTTCAAATTTGTATGAGAATTTGAAAAAGATTCAATCAATGAGGGGCTGAAATTCAAATTTCCCCAAAGGGACACGAGTTATGGTGGTTCAAACGAGAGATTGACAAAGCTTGGAAAACCACGTCTCTTTTGATATAAAAATCTTACAAAGTATTTTCCCATTTTTTCCCATATCAAAATCTTGAATTCTCCTATTTCCAACAATGGTTGCTGGATTGAGAAAGTTCTGCTCATACATTATATTGTGTATAACACACGATTTTATTATTTAATTTTGGCTCACTGAAGTTCAGCCTCCAAAGGTCAAGACGAAGTGTCTGGAAAGGAACATGCCCAACAAATAGCGAACGGATGATCCCAAGTTGTGCCTCACGTACACCTGCAAACCCTGATTCGATCTAATTACGCAAATAAATGCACATTTCTCACCAAATACGGATATTCTGAGAGGGCCACGTTGACCACGGAGCCGTCGGCGGCCCTGGCGCAGGGGCCGACGGCGCCCAACAAAACCAGCAAAAATTTCACACCAACATGCATTTTGGTGACGACAGCGGAAACTTTTGCATATTATGACGAGACATTTTTTTTTTAATCTCACCGCCGCAGGCGTTCATTTTTTTCCCGCGTCACATTTGTGTGATTAAAAAATGGACATATTTCACTGTCGCCTGCGTGTCTCTCACTTTATCACTTTCCGCAGACAAATAGGGTCTCATTAACGGAGTAAAATATTTATCAAAAAGCAGGATTTTTCTGTTTATTTTGCTTGAGTATTTTCTTCCAAAAACTCCCAACCTTTTAAAAGACAAATCTGGCGATTTTTTAATAAAACTGAAGACTTCACATTCAAGTGTTGAAAAATTAACTGCGTTTCACCCACAATTGGGCCGATCAGGCGAAATTGCACAACGCTGGCTGTATCCGCCATCCACCGATAATCACCAATTTATTTGTAACTTTTCTGAACCACAATTTTCAGATTTTAAAATGGGAGCTTCTTCTTAATTGACAATCATTATTTTTAAATTTCTTATTTAATAAAAAGGGTAAAAATATGCAATAATTCACTTTTATTTGATTTGCTGATGATTAATCTGGTTTCTTCGCTACAATTCTCATTTTTTTTTTCTACTTTTTTTCAATAAAATTTTCTTTCTGTGTTTTAATTTCAACAGAGTATAGATAAAATATCTTCAAGTCCTGCAAATAGGAACAAATTGTGTGTTTCTGCCATTCTATCCATAAAGCTTTCAATTTGCGACTCGCAAATCTGCATACAAAATTCAACTGCGTGCATTTTTTCCTTCAATTGACCAACTCTCATGACCATTGGCGGATGTAAATTTGAAAAAAATCTTATATCAAAATTTTCGTGTATACTCCCGTTTCAAAATGGAAAAAGGGTAAAAATGGTACTCACTTTTTTTATGCTGAACAGGCTTGACGACCTCCTGCAGCGGACCAAAATCCTCATGAACTCAAGATCTGCAGCCCACACGCCTGCGAAATAGAAATTTGCCTTGTGGTTAAAAACTTAAAAAGTAAACAATGTGATGTAACAATTTGGACAAATAAAACAACAATAATAAAACAAAAGACACGTGCTTCCCCCCGTTCGTGATCGCATTTTTGGAGAGGAACGGAATTATTTTTTCACAAGATAATTTGCAGCGTTAATAAATTCATTCGTTTAAGATTTCTGCCAGCATAAAATTATTACTTACAAAAATAGAGGGAAAAAAGTCAGAACTATTCAAGGCAACCTAAAAGAGACTTTCTTGATCGCAAGCAGAAATCCTATTAGGAAAACAAGCACGGGGAAGAAATAATTTACATTAAGAAAGGAACTTTTGCCACACGTAGTGAATTTGATCTCAAAATATTAATTGGTTTTGCGCCGAAATTTTTATGCAATACGGACAGTTCAAATTTGTCTTGTTAATTATGTAAGTACTGTTATTTAATTTAATACAAAAAATGTATTATTTTGCTAGGGAAAAATACCATAATATTTGTCGAAAATTAATCTTTATCTTTTGCCAAACGCGCACGTTGGCTGTTGTTGAACCGCGATTGCCCTTTGACCATTTTGATCCTGTTATCATTTTTGAGGAAAACAAATTCAGTCTCGTGTGAGATGATAAAAAAAAATTAGGGAAGTTACGTCAGCATTGCTCATAGATTTTCACTTGCGTTTCAAATAAACAATTTTTGTTAATTTTTCATAACTTTGCTTTGCTCATTTCCTGGGCTGGAAGAAAAAATTTTAAAGTCACATTGACAAAATTTTAAGTAAAAATTTAATGAAAAAATAATGTTGTTTGCTTTTGGCTGTTCAGACTAGCGAGGGCAGAGGGCAGTGATAAAGGCCAGGGATAAAAAGCTTTGGCAAATTGAAGGCGACGCAGAAGAAGAAAGACTGGCCATGGCTCGTTTCTTGTCTCTCATTCTTTTGCTTTTCGCCGCCGCCCTGGCCAACGAATCCTCAAACAAGGTAATACAAAATTCAAATTATTTCTATTTATACGTACAGGCGATTGGGTAAAAGTCGTTTGATATCAATTCTATCACAAAGTTGTGGAAAAGATGTAAGAGTTTAGTGATGAAAATCACTATAAGAGTTAAAAGGAAAATTATTGCAAGAAACTTATTTTACTTTAAGTTGAAGCTTGTATATTAAAAGATATTCATACACATCCATTTATTATTTGATGTAATTTAATTTTTTCTGAAAAATGAAATGAAATGAATTATTAATTGTTACCAAATATTGTTACAGTATTATTTTATTAATCAGATAATTTATTTGTTTCATTTTCAGACAGAAATTTTAATTATCATGAATAAATTTTAGAAAAATCATAATATCCTTTTCTGATAAAATGAAATTCAATTATTTCATGACATTTGTTGTTGTTCATATCAAAGCAAATGTTCCTGTTTTCAGCAACGTAATCGCAGATCCTCCGCAAAATGCAACCTCGCTCGTAAGTTTTGCAAATAAAATGGACCAAATTAATTTATTAATTTATTTCGATTAATAAATTCGCAGGTTCATCAAACTTGGTTTTGCTGTCGAACGAAAAGATGTACTTTTTTTCTTACCCAGCTCAGGTAATTGTCAATTCCTGTGTTTGGATTTTTCTATAATAAATTTATTTATCCCCAACAGAAAACCTGGAATTCTGCTAAAGAGACGTGCAGCAAAAAAGGCCTCCATTTGGCCACAATGACAGATGTAAATGAATTGCAGGTGGTCGGGGAAGAAGCACGAGGAATTTATTTGGGTGAAAAACGAAAAACCGCATTTTTTTCTCTCTCGTGTATAATCAAAATTATTAGATAATGGTTGGCACGTATCGGCGAAAAACCAAGGGAGTGGAGGTGGAAAGGACTTCCGATGGCGCGACGGGACCAAGCTGGAGTTGAACAGTCCCTTGTGGCAGGAGGGCACGCGCAAGGCGGGCGACTGCGTTCGCATCGATAATTCGAGAAAGGGAAAATTGGTCAGCTATTCGTGCACCGATGAGCGGCCTTTCGTCTGCGAACTGCCCAGCGAATGTTACTGAAAACCAAATCAAATATAGAAATTGTAATTTTAAAAAAGAAAAAATTAAAACATATTTTGTCTCCATACTTGCAGTGGATTTTGTTTAAACGTGTTTGTATGTCAAATAAAATTGGTTAAAAGATTTTAGTTGTGAAAAAGTAAGATTTAATTTAATTTCTGTAATTATGTTGAAAATTTTACCTGCCACAAGAAATTGGTTTACTATATTAATGATTTTTTTTTGCAACAATTTAACTTCATAAATTTTAATTAAAGAGAATGAAATGTGCTGAAGAAAATGCTTAATATTTCTTCCAAGAATTGAAACAACTTTCAGTTTTTCTTTTTCCATCGACAGGCAAAGTGGATTTTTTTGCAAACAAGACTTGCTGCATCTATTTTGCAATGAACAGATTTTGTGAAAGAAATTTCTTCAAAATTCCAATATGGCCAGAAATAAATTGTTTTCATTGATGTCTTCATTGTAATATAATGTGGATAAATTTATTTGCACCAAATTTTGGTGTCTTGAATTCCCAAGAGCTTATTCGCACCAATTTTTTTTATCACGCCTTGGTTACTACATAAATATAATTTTTATTATTTTAAGTACTGCACCGATTGCAGACAACACCTTTTGTAGGCAACTCCATTATGGGTTTGCGAGCTATTCCTTCTTTAAGTCAAACAGCCGTTCCGTACTCTAGACGGAATAAAATTTTATTTAAAATAAGCTTGCAAATCTGCTTAAGTATTGAAAAATACAACAGAATTTTTCAATTTATGCATCGCCTCCATCAAAACACAAAATTATTTGTCTGAACCTGGATAAAAATTAGGAACTCTATTAATTCATTGATAATATTTAGAATAATTAATTTGTACTGTAATCAACAAATTGTTTGGGAAATAGGTTAAACTTCAATTTGTGTCAAAAAAAAAATTATCCCGTTCAGCATAATAGTAAATTTATAAGATCGCGCATACTCAAGTTTTCATTTGATTTGAATTTTCCGAGAATTGGATTTCTTTTCTAAGGGAAAAAGCTTTCAAATAAATGAATCTTCTACCGGAATAAAAAGTCTTATCCACGTGAATGTTTAGAATTCTTCCAGCTTTTTCATATAATATAATCAAGGTCTGCTGTCGTCATCACCGCTAAAACGGTAGCTGGCGGAAGAATAGCATTTGCGGCCACCCCATCGACAGCCTTGCTGAGGAAAATGAAGCCTTTATCTCATTATACATATCTACAGATTGTCTGAAAAATCGAAACGTTTTATAAACTTATTGCAAAAACCAGATTGACTTACGTCTTTTTGTTGATGTGCATGTTGAAAATTCCTGTAAAAAGCAGAAAGGATCGTTAATGACAATTGACGGGCGCTTAGCTAATTTATCATGGAAATCTACCTTGAGTTCCGGCTTCGTTCGGCGCGATCTTGCACATTTGCAGAGGTCAGAGGTCGCCTGTGACCGTGGCAGGTTCACAAAGCGTCCAGCGCGGACATTTCCGTACGCCACAGACAAACAGAGACACACGCGGGCGAACGAGACGCGAATCGGAGGGAAACTGAAAATCCTGAAAAATTACAAAGTGTCCAAAGTCCAAAGTGATGTGAGTCATGTGAGGCGTGACGTCATCGCTGCACGTGTGCATTTCGGTCTTCGGTCGAGAGGTGAACTAAAAATTGGCAGAACAGAGGCTATGAAAAGGGGAGGGGATAGTTTCTTCGCATGGCAGGCATAGGGAGGCCCCGCCCCTTTTCCCTTCTTATATTCCATAATAAGAAATTTATATAATGCTCTGTCATCCCCGCCCGCAACCAACAAAAACAAGTTCTTTCCTGCTGCATTCCAACATTCTTCTTCTTCCCTGCTAAAAAGTTTCACTTTCCGCAAACAAAGCAAAACCGCGTCAAACGAAAGCAGCGGGAATGCGATGACGTAATAAAATCGCGCCTCTTTTATGCTCAGTTTCCCTCGGATTCGCGTCTCGGGCGCTCGCGTGCGTCTGATCTGCGTGTCCAAGTGCGTGTCTGTGGCGTCCGGAAATGTCCGTGTGGCGGACGCTTTGTGGTGCCGAGGTCACAGGCGACCTCTGACCTTGGCAGGAAGTGAAAGATCGGGCCAAAGGAAGCCGGAATTCGAGGTAGTTTTGCATAAATATTTGTTAATTGCGATCAATTAATTCTTCCTTTTTTATCATCAGGAATTTTCAACAAAAGCACAACAAGAAGACCTAAAAGGTAAGACGATTTTTTTTTTTAATTTACTTAGGTTAAATATTTTGAATCTCTACGAATTAATGAGATTTTTATTGGAGGAAGCGAAATCCAGTATTAAAGTCGAAACTAATCAATGGCCCAATTTATTTTGGTCCGGAGATCATTAATTTCATCACAAATTCTTGATATTCGTCTCAAGAAATTTCAGGTTCAGCTTGTGGAATATTCGAAAGTACAATTAATTTATTGTGCAAATGTACTTGCATAAATAAATAATTATTTGTATAATTTAAGAGCTAAAATTATACAATTTTATAAGACGACGTAATTAATGATTAATCTTCGGCGGAATTTTTTACATAATAATAAACGCTCAATTTCCAAACAAATTATTAAACTACAGAGAAGCATTTATTAAAACGATCAATTAATTTATCAGGAAACATATTAAATTTAATGACTCATTTGTTTTCATGAATTGAGGCGAGTGGTGAAAAAGTTCCTTCTCTGAAGACGCAGAATTCCACAAAATTTAATTAGTCCGAAGATGTTTTTTTTTTCTTTTATTTTGGGGCCAGAATTTTATGTTTCTGCTTCAAACTCCGCTCCTAAATACAATTTTTCAAAAATACATAGAAAAATGAGCGATTTGTCGAATCATCTGCAGCTTTCTATGCTGTAAATTTTTATACACTAAAGATTTGAATTGGCGCCGATCTCGGTCAATAAAACCGAGCGAGGGCTTTTCAATTTTCTCTCGATCGCGACACGTGTCTCTCGCCGCCGTCTGCAGACTTAATTAATTGAATTCGCTCTTGAGGATGGAGCAGCAGCGGCCGCAGCCAGCAGGAGGAAGAAAAAGTGTCTTTCGATCGCTGCTTCTGAATCTATTTTGAAAAGCGGCGCTTCGTGATGGAATAAAGTTGTTATTAGATATTATTTTTTTATTAGAAAACGGCTGGAGATTTGTTAATGAAATTTAAGAATCGGGGTCAAAATGAAATATCCAATGATTTATCTTGCAAAAAATTTTTATTTTCATATTCATGAAGAAATTGAACAAACTAAATTTTAGATGAAAAAAATGACGTATAAAAACGGCCGAGTTTGTTGTCCGAGAAGAACGACTTTTGGCACAATTACATACTCACCAGAGATGTGCAGTCGACAATTAAATTAGTGTCTCAGTTTTATCCCAGACCCAGTCAATCTTATTTGCAGCTGCATGATGTAACAATAAGAAACCAGGTATTAATTTCAATTTATCAAATTTATGTGTATTTCTCCAAAAACGGTGCTTCAAGTTGGAATTCCTTAGAAATTAATTTTAACTTGCCAATTAAAAAGTACAGTCTCGGAAAGAAATTATTAAATTTATTCTTAATAATCCGTGCTTGAATAAATTGAAAATTTTAAAAACATTAAAAAAAATGCACCAGTCTGGACTTGAAAAGTTTAGTTTTGTTTTGTTTGTTTAATGAAAGCTCCGGTTCAAATGCTGAACCTCTAATAACAAATTATTATAAATGGCTTTAAAAATTTTAATGAAATCAACTAAAACGTTCAAGTTGGTGAAAAATCCTTTTGCCATTTTGCTGGCTTTTATTTCATTATTTTCCTGCTTCAAATTTGGTTCTTTGCGAAGTGATTTGCTTGTTCTATTAATTATTACAATTTAATTGAAAATCTTTGTCGTATGGTGTGATTCATTCAAAAAATTTTAAATTCAAATTTAAAAAAAAACCTATTTTTATTTCACAAATCGATTTTCGAATTAATTGATTACAAAAGCCAACTAAAATTTGCCAACTCTCCTTAGGGGTTGTCGATGATAACCTCCGGCATGCTGAGAATATCTGTGCGGAAGGCGGAAATCCTGTAAAACCAGCCTTTGTTGCTGTTGTCGTCATATTCATTGCAAGACGGATCTAACATAGTTCCCTGCACTCGGCCGTTCACCACCAGCGCTGGTTCCCGCACGAAGGTGGGGTAGTAGTAGCTGTCCGTGTAGTACATCTGCACGCAGAATTCCATCAACATTCTTCAGAGTGGTAATTTTTGGATAAAAGCAAACTCTTTTTTCATTTACTTTTTATCACTCGAATAAAAAAAACGCGATATTGTCAAATGTTATTGCTTCACAATAGAGTCAGCGTTGAAAACAAAAATGAAATTTTGGAACGACTTGTAGGCAACAATTATATATTTTAGAAACATGTGCAAAAATCATAAAAAAAAATTCGTTTCATTAACGGCCATTCAAATTTTGTAAAAGGCGTTCAAGTTAGTTTTTTCTTAATATAAATAATCTAATTTTTTGCATCAATTATTGTTTAATATAAGCAATTGCAAACGATTAAATAAGTCAGCAATGAACTTTTAATTATCTGTTTTTTCCTTTATAGCCAAAAGTTTCCTGTCCAAAGAGAGGAGGGGATTTTTAAGTTTTAACCTTCAATAGAGCTTTTTGTCTTAAAAAAATGGAGGAAAAAATAAAATGCAAAGTAAAGATTCGAAATGCTGCTAACCTTGCAAATATCAATGGTTTCGTCTTGTGTGATGCACGCCCCAAATTCGGAGTATAGGTTGCAAATCGTGGAATCCTTCACCGTCGTTGATTTGGACTTCAAACTCTGCACACACAAAACACAAGTTCAAAAGATGAAATACAGGTTTCGATGCTGATTTGGTCTGATTTTTATTAAAAAAATGAAAGAGAGACGATGTTATATTTGTGGGAAATTTATAGAATATTAGTTTCGTCTACGTTTTCATTCAACTGAATCTTTAATAATTGTAACTCTACGCTTGGAAACATTTTCTCTATATTAGCGTGAATTATTATTATTTTTCTGTCACGTACAAAATTGAATATAATAGGAATTGCGGATTTATTTTTAATCTTACGTTGCCTTCAAAGTAAATAATGGCCGCGTCCGTGTTGTCCGCTTGGAAGTCAAAAAATTCGCTTTCTGTCAAATTGAAACGCGCCGGGCCAAAAGGCACGCACGTCTTCAAAACAGCGAACGGCTCGCTGAATGAAACCGTCTTAGCCACAGGGTGCACCTGCAACTTGTAGTCCGTCAACCTTATCGCGGGAGTGTCAGAAGGACTGGCAATTTTTTTAATTAAAAAGTCTTCTTTTTTTACAAAAGTAAATTTGAATGAGAAAACTGATCAACTCACTCCTCATATCCACCAACCAACACCATCTTTGCACTGACAACAAAAGCGGGCACGGTGATCTCGTAAGGGTTGGCAGGGCTGTCGAGCTTGACCTTTGCAGCAATTAATAAATCTACCCCGAGTCGAGAAATAATGGAAAGTATAACTCACGACGTAGGGAAACTGGCCTGCCCAGTCGGCGGTCAGGGTCGGTCCGAAAGTGGCCAACGACGCTGCAGAAAATATCATTTTTTTATTTCTTGAATCGATTTGGAAAAAGAAAATATACGTGAGTAAAAAGAGGCGAGAAGAACGAGGAGTGAAAACATTTTGCCGACGTTCAACTTGCTTTCAACACGAGACACACGATTCGACTTTCAGAAAAGTTGTGAAGAAAAGTGTCAGTCGCTTGTCGCTTTTCCCCTTTTTACTTACCTTGAAAGGGGAGATAAGAAATAATGACCATGAAATTGCTTTAATTGCTTTGTTTTCGAAAGCGATGGAAAAATGTAAACTTTTGAGGTAAATTAAAAGCCCCGGCCGATCTTGCCAACAAGCCAGGAAGTGAGAAAGCGCAAGGAAGCGCAACAATCAAACTAATTCCCCCTTTTCTCACTGCCCTACTTTTTGTGGTGCCAGTGGAGAAGCGACGAAAAATTTTGTTCGAGAAAAGTTTTGGAAGGTGCTTGCAAAAACAGTTAACAACAATGGCAGTGAAAGAACAAAATGCTCTGTTTTATTTCAATACAATATGTAATATAGATTGTGTAAGATATTGAAATTCAAAATCCTGGGAAATTAGTTTGCATCTTTTAATAATGAATAAACGTGCCATGCATTTTTGCAAAATCGATTAATTAGATTTTGGTTTCTGAAATCGACGGCTTAGCTTTGGGCCGATGCATATATTTGAAAGTAATTAAGCACAAGAATGAAAAGAGGAGGACATGCTTTTGTCAAACATACGCGTGCAGGGTTAAATTGTTCGATATTCACTCAAGAAAAATCGCAATTTTTTCAGGTTGAATATGTTCAGATAAATTTGTAACACGGCCATTAATTATTAAATAATTTTAATTTCAATTTTTTTCCAGACACTCAAAAATTATTTTTTTGAAGGAACTTCCCTTTTGCATTTTTTTTTTTTTTTTTAAATTTATAGCATGCATTAACTTTTGGTAACCGTGAAATTCTAATTAGATTTTTACATTTTCATCTGTGTAAGTACAACTGCAACATTTTGATTGTCACCGCATAGGTATGGTTTAAAAATTCCGCTTATCTCCAGATATTCAGTGATTTTTCAAATCAAAACGCAACTCATCTCGTGAATTCAGAGCTCCAAGAAAGTAAAAAAAAATACTATTTATTTCACTAAAAGAAACTTTCCTGAATGTTCTGTGAAATATAAAAGTTTCACTAAAAGCAATTCAGTGACACAGTAAGAAAAAAAGGGGAGATAAAATTTGTTAATTTGTCAACCGCCATATTTAATTGCTGACTAATAGAGACTGCCGTGTGACAGTCCGAGAAGCTAATGAAATTTTTATCATTTTGAAAAGGCGTTTTTTTTTTTTTTTTTTTAAAGCAGAGTTGGGTTGACTAAATAATAATAGTGATTAAAAAAAAAACTGACAAAAAAAAAGCAATTAAAACGTCTTCCTTCCCCGAGAGGCACTAAAAGGGTTCAATTTCCTTAGAAGAAATAAAAATTTGCCTGAATTAAAAATTTTAATGATTTCAATATTATGCATTATTATAAGAATGAAAAAATATTTGTTAACCTTTATATAATTTACCAGTTTCTTAAGAAAAATAACAAAATTTTCTGAGCACAAAAAAGTTAAAAAGTACAAAAAATGTAAGTGAAGTCAATATGCCACAGACAATAATCAAAAGTTATAATTGCCGATTGAAAAAGAATTAGTTCTTGGAGTTTCAATTGTCACATATATTTTGCAAATATTCAATTTTTTATCAATGATAAAATCCTTGATGAGATGTTAATTAAAATTTGTGTGTTTGAAATTTTTTATTTTTTGGCGGAAACGAATGGCGAGATGAAATCTTGAGATGATATGCAGAATAAACTAGGAAAGGCCAAAATTTTGCAACTTCTCGCCTGTTTTATTTTAAAACCCTATAAAATAAAAAATAGCAGAGAAGAAACCGCAAAAGAGAAATTGCGGGGAAGCAGATACAAATACATAAATGCAATTAGGATTTTCAGTATTCAGAAAAATTTGCTCTTTCTCCTTTAAAGATGCAGACAAAGAAATTGCAAAACATGCATTTGGACATGTAAAATAAAAAAACTTACGACGTAGGGAAAATGGCCAGCCCAGTCGTAGGTCACCAAAGCTGTGTAAAAAATTATTTTCTCTCATTCAGATCGAGCGAAATTAAGAAATAAAAGAATTACGCAACATGCTGGTTTCTTTCAAATCTCCGACTGGACGATGCAACTTTCAGTTAGGTAATGAAGACAAATTCCAGTCGCTTCCTCGTTTTATATACCCTGCAAAGCGGAGATAAGAAATGCATAGCTATACAATTAAATTATGCGTCTACGATAAACAAGCTCGGTGCGTGACTTTGTTATCTCATTAAAATTTGCTAACGTTTCAATAAGTCTTTTAGGGAAATTAATCAAGACCCGCATACTCACCAAAATAAGGAATACTAAAGCGAGGGAAAAAACTGGAAATATATTAAAAGGGGAAAAAAGGAAAGAGAAAACTATTTTATACTTTTTCTTGCACTCAAGCAGCCTTTTTCACAAAAGAGAGATTGGGTGAGTCCGAATATCAGAGAAACGATTCTCGCGCAAGGATTCTCCAGGAACGTTTCTGCCTTTAAAATTTAACTTAAGAATCGTTCCTTGAGAGTCCCGAAAATCTTTTCCATGAACACTAATACGACTCATTATAATTGACTGATTTAAAAACAAGGGAAAAATTGATTTTTGAAGAACAAATAATTTCAGTTCTTTTAAATCTTTCCATCATTTCAATAGTTATTAAAAATCTTTTCACAACTTTTCATTATTACTTGTGAGACGTAGCAGGTAAAATTATTAAAGGCAGCAACCCGCATCACAGTGGTGTTGGGCAGCGCTGCATACTTTACAGGTTGCGTCAGATCTACCATGGATTTTCAATATGCATCCCGGTCAACCTTATTTTGCTGCTGCATGATCTAACAATAAGAAACCAGGTATTAATTTCAATTTATCAAATTTATGTGTATTTCTCCAAAAACGGTGCTTCAAGTTGGAATTCCTTAGAAATTAATTTTAACTTGCCAATTAAAAAGTACAGTCTCGGAAAGAAATTATTAAATTTATTCTTAATAATCCGTGCTTGAATAAATTGAAAATTTTAAAAACATTAAAAAAAATGCACCAGTCTGGACTTGAAAAGTTTAGTTTTGTTTTGTTTGTTTAATGAAAGCTCCGGTTCAAATGCTGAACCTCTAATAACAAATTATTATAAATGGCTTTAAAAATTTTAATGAAATCAACTAAAACGTTCAAGTTGGTGAAAAATCCTTTTGCCATTTTGCTGGCTTTTATTTTATTATTTTCCTGCTTCAAATTTGGTTCTTTGCGGAGTGATTTGCTTGTTCTATTAATTATTACAATTTAATTGAAAATCTTTGTCGTATGGTGTGATTCATTCAAAAAAATTTTAATTCAAATTAAAAAAAAAACCTATTTTTATTTCACAAATCGATTTTCGAATTAATTGATTACAAAAGCCAACTAAAATTTGCCAACTCTCCTTAGGGGTTGTCGATGATAACGTCCGGCATGCTGAGAATTTCTGTGCGGAAGGTGGCAATCTTGTTAAACTCGCCTTCGTGGCTGTTGTCGTCGTATTCGTTGCAATACGGATTCACCATAGTTGCCTGCACTCGGCCGTTCACCACCAGCGCTGGTTCCCGCGCGAAGGTGGGGTAGTAGTAGCTGTCCGTGTAGTACAACTGCACACAGAATTCAATCAACATCTTGAAAGGGCCGCGGCGAAAGTGTTAATATGATTTGGGGTCAGAATTAAGGCCCACTCTCTTATTTAATCGAGAATATTCCCTGACGTTTCGGATAAAAACCGATTCTTTCTCTCTCCACCCCATTCAAATTCCGTAAAAGTAAAGTAATTTTTTCCATATTTAAATTCAGAGTTTCTGTAACGAAATTTGTACCAATATTAGCAATGCGGTAAAAGATTAAATTCTCGGCGAGAAAAGTGTAAATAATTAATCTTTATTTTTCTAGACAAAAGTTTCTTGTCCTAAGAGAGGTGGGGATTTTAGTGGAGAAGGCTTTTTGTGCTAAAAGAGAGGAATTTATCGTGATATGATAAAAAAATTAATATTTTTAAATTATAATAGATGCCTAGATTCAAATGCTGATACCTTGCAAATATCAATGGTTTCGTCTTTTTCGATGCACGCCCCAGTATTAGAGAATGATATTGATTCAAATACGGTGTTGCAAAACGTGGGATCCAACGCCGTCGTCGACTTGGACTTCAAACTCTGCACAAAAAACACGAGTTAGAAAGATGAAATATAGGTTTCAAAAATGATATCTTCTAACTTCAAAGAGGTTGGGTCCGAATATCAGAGAAACGATTCTCGAGAAAAGATTCCCGCGCAAGGATTCTCAAGGAACGATTCTTTAGTTGAATTTTAAAGGCAGAAGTGATCCTGGAGAATCCTTGCGCGAGAATCTTCTTTTCTCAGATATTCAGACACACCCAATTTTTGTGGGAAATTTGGATTTCATGCTTTTTAGTTTCGTTTTATTTTTTATTTATATCATTTTTAAACAAATACATCTTTAATAATTGTAACTACTACGTTTGGAAAAACTGTCTGAAGTAGAACAGAGTTTGGAATTGGCGTGAATTATGAAATTGAAGATCATTTTTCTGTCACGTACAAAATTGAATGTTATAGGAATGGCGGTTTTATTTTTGCACTCACGTTGCCTTCAAAGTAAATAATGGCCGCGTCCGTGTTGTTCGCTTGGAAGTCAAAAAATTCACTTTCCGTCAAGTTAAAACGCGCCGGCCCGAAAGGCTTGCACGTCTTCAAAACAGCGAACGGCTCGCTGAATGAAACCGTCTTAGCCACAGGGTGCACCTGCAACTTGTAGTCCGTCAACCTTATCCCGGCAGTTTCAGAAGGACTGGCAATTTATTTTAATTAAAAAAGTCTTCTTTTTTTTACAAAAGTAAATTTGAATGAGAAAACGCACTCCACATATAATGCACCAACCAAAACCATCTTTGCACTGACAACAAAAGCGGGCACGGTGTACTCGTAAGGGTCGGCAGGGCTGTCGAGCTTGACCTTTGCAGCAATTAATAAATCGACCCCGAGTCGAGAAATAATGGAAAGTATAACTCACGACGTAGGGAAACTGGCCTGCCCAGTCGGCGGTCAGGGTCGGTCCGAAAGTGGCCAACGAGGCTGCAGAAAATATCATTTTTTTATTTCTTGAATCGATTTAGAAAAAGAAAATATACGTGAGTAAAAAGAGGCGAGAAGAACGAGGAGTGAAAACATTTTGCCGACGTTCAACTTGCTTTCAACTCGAGACACACGATTCGACTTTCAGAAAAGTTGTGAAGAAAGTTTCAGTCGCTTGCCCTTTTTACTTGAACAGGGAGATAAGAAATTAAAATTGCTTCGTTTTCCAACGCGACGCAAGGCAATTTAAACGTTTGAGGCAAATTAAAAGCCCCACTCTTGCCACCGAGCCAGGAAGTGAGAACCATGAAGTTGAAGTAAAAGGACGTAAAATAAAAAAATTACGCCAAAGAAATTGTAATGGGACTCGCAAACTGAGCGAGCTTGGAAAACTATAAAAATTATATTGTAATTGTATTGTGTTATTATTGATTATGCTGATGCAAAGCGTGCATCACTTTTAATTTAAAAAATCTGCCACGTGTTGGTAAAAAAGATTTACCAAATTTTAAATCGTCATTTTTATCTCGAGTAAATAAAACACGGCCATTTCACGCAATTAAGCAAAAAGAATCAAATTTGATTTAAAGAGTTGCGTTTAAATTTTTCTATTAAAAGTCGTTTCAAAAATATCATTGAATTAAAAACAGCAGCGGAAGACTGAAAATGATCTGTTCAATCTCGAGTTAAAAATTTTAAAGTGAGAGAGCAATATTTTTCATATCACATAATATTTGTAATGAATTGAGTAGATTTTCAATTATAATTATTTCAAGGGGAAAAAACCATTATATGAGGTTCCGTCTGCTTTTCACGCGGAAAATTCTCCCCCAGCACTGCGGTGTCTCGCGATATCAGTCAGCAATTAAATGTGGCGGTCACAAAACGCAAAGGAAGCGCAACAATCAAAATAATTGCTTATCACTGCTCTGCTTTTCGAGGTGTCAGTGCGGAGGAGCGAGGCGGAAAGTTTAGTTTGAGAAAATTTTTGAGGTCAACGACAATGGCTGCGAGAGTACAAAATGCTCAGTTTTATTTCAATTTGTAATTATTGTAAATTGTGTAGATATTGAAACTCGAAATCAACGGAAAATAATTTGTATCTTTAAATTGTCAATACGCGTGTCATGCATTTTTGTAAAATTGATTATAATTAAGATTCAAGGTTTCCAAAATCGACGACTGAGTGTCATTTAACCAATGCATATATTTGAAACTAAATAAGCACAATAATATTGTCACGAGGCCCTCTGTGTGGTTGTGAGTGACACCGTGCTCGTAGTAGAGGACCTCGTAACAGGGTGTAAAGGTAGAAATGGTAGAGTTCTGGATAACACTATGGATGGATTTATTGTGTAGCGCCGGACGGTACAATGGTTATGGTCGGAATTGCTAGTGTGGGTGACTCGCAGGTGACTGTCCAAGTGGGTTCACTGGATGACGGCCATGGTGACGGCGTCTCGTCGGACGGTCTCGTCCAACTGCTCAGTGAGGTGCAACTCTACTGGTGCATGGCTGCTCTAGTGCATAGCCCGTGTACGACTACCCCGGCTGCAAGGCCCGTGTCCGCCAGTACGCTGTACTGCTGACAGTGCGCTAATACCTGACTCAAGCTCATCCGCTATGTCACACCGTGACAATATAAACCGGACACCCAGGAAGGCATACTTTTGACAAACATGCGCATGCGGGTTATAAATTGTTCACAATATTCACCCACGAAAGGTCGCAATTTTTCGGCTTTAAAACGTTCAGATAAATCTGTAACACAGCCATTAATTATTAACGAATTCCAGAATAAAGTTCAAATAAATGGTATAATTGTTCAATTAGGAATATATCAATTTAAAAAAAAATATATCTTCTTGGAAGATTATTCTTTCTTAACTTTGAAATTAAGTTTTGTTCGTAAAAATCTCCAGTTCAAGTGCAACACTTTTACAGCTGATCAAAATCAGCAGCTTTTTACACAATGTTATTTAAAAAAAGAACGAAGGGAACAAGTTGAATGTTAATTTTTCTGTTTTAATTTTTATTCATATTTCTATTCTCGTCAACAAGTTTTTTATGTGTTGAGGAAAAGAACCCATGGTAATCCAGGCAGTATTTTTTTTCACAAAATATTGGTTGCAGAAAAAATAATATGTAAAAGAAGACTGAAGATTGTGAAATTTCTTCATGTTGAGAATCATTGTGCGTTGGACAACACAATAATCTTGTCAAACATGCAAACTCTATTGCATGTTGCATCAAAAGAAGTTGACATCGCTGGTGTCCGTACGAATGTAGTCGTGTCATACAAAATTTGTATGAAAAAATTATTCGAAATTCGAAGGCTTTTTCAAACAACAATCTAGTTTCGTCTACATTTAAATTAAGTTTATTTTGATCAATCTACATTGTAACAACTAAGGGGGCTTCTATGGTGGAAAGAAGACGTCCGCTGGTGACTGAATGTATATTTTACTGGCAAAACGATGCTCTATTTATACACAGAATTTTCAAGCCGGCTATCGCGGTGTTGCGGGACGCCCTGTCATCGGACACAATCAGGGCGCCCCGTTTGTGCTATCGTCGCCTTGCCACCTGTGCCTTATTGCCGGCCACTTTCTTTCCTCTCGATGGTCTGGCCGTGGCTTGCGGCCTTATACAGTATGCGACACTATTTAATGTACTTTTGGAATATTTCAAGCTGATTTCAGCTGTGAGGTTTTGGAAAATATTTTGAAATCTGACAAGATCTCTGGTATTTTGTTTCGTAAACCTACAGTTTCCGCTGTTTATTTATTTTTCACGCATAATTAAATGCGAAATGTCTCCAATCAAACATCAAACACTCCCGACGCAGATTGGTGTGTCTTGAGTTCATTGCCAACGCTTCTCGAGTTGAATTGAATGAAGAACCAAGCTTAATTTTGTTATTGCTTTGCCGTGGAAGAAAACGACCATGTGGCGTCTGCGCGTCGTCAGCCTGGAACTCAAAGATCTCAATCTGCAGGCTCAGGTTGAAGCGAGTTGGCCCCAAAGATTTACTCCATAGATTTACTCGTCTTCAAATTAGCCAATTTTTTGTCCTGAAAAGCGTGGACAGAAAATATATTGATAAGTTCAAATGGAGAGAAATTTATATTGATATGGATATCGTGCTAAGCGCATCAGCTTGAAATAATGGAAAAATTATTTAATTATATATATTCATACCAATTATTCAACTACTTCACACCAGCCTCTTTTTAAAGAACAAACCAAGTGCTCGAGTTTTTACGAAAAAAATAAACAAGTTTTAAAAATGAAGGTAAAGTAAAAATAAGCTGGGTGGCGTTTTATCGCATTAAACGGTGGAAATGGAGGGAATGAGTTGTCATTGCGCAGCAAAATCGATTTTGATCTAATTAGCTTGTTGCTGGCCAACAGCACTCTGCGTCGATTTCATTATATTCTTTACAACAACTAAATTGGCGGATCGCAATTTAATGAAATTTCTGTTGCGAGCTCACTGATTAATTGAATTCGGCCTTTAAATGGTTTACATTTCATACTGCGTGTGCGGAAAACAGACACGGAAAATCAGCAATTCATTGTTTATGCAGTGTTGAAATATTAATTCATTCCACTTCATTCCAAAGCTGCGAATTTAAAATTTGAGATCAAATGGCAAGAAAATATTTTTACTTGCGAATAGACTGAAGAGGACAGAAAAAGCAGTTTCTGCCAAAAATTTGGCAGATAATGTTTGTATATTTTACTTGCACGTCATAATTGCGTTGCCTGCGAAGACTGACTCAAGATTGCCGATAGGATTTCCTGATTTAGAATTTGGAAGCGCTGTCTGAAAACATGGGCAGAGCAAAGGGAAGTGAGCCAGACAAGCGTTCCAAAAGATAAGCAATAAATCTCTTGGTTTATTGAAATAATTAATCTCTCCTTACTCCTCAATATTCTGTCATGATTGTTGGGGAAACGTAAATACAAATAATAACAGTTGTTTTCATTAATTATAATATTTTATTTACCGCGCAGCGAGTCGTATAAGAACAAATTTTTTTTATCCAGATATCAAATTAAGGAATAGATTTTCCTGCGGTTATTGTCATCATCAAGAAATAATTAGGAGAATCCACCGGAGTGGCCAGAGTTGTCTAAAATGATGATCTTGCTCAAACATGAAAAAGAATTTTGAATTCTTTTCAGCTTGATACATCAAGCGTTGAAAATTAAATGCCAAAAGTATTTAGTTCTCAAATGTCAAATGAAATAAAAAGGGCGAATTTTATTGTAGAAATTAAAGCTGGAAAAGGGGAAAATTGAAATAATGAAGAAAAGTTTTAATGCCATGACGCGAGAAAATATTCGCTCGGCCTTTGCGCCTCTCCTCTTGCCAATTGCCAAGCACGGCGTTGCCAGGGGACGCATTTGTGTCTCTCCCTTGGTGGCTAAACAATGTAAAATTTCAGCGACTGCCATGCCAACTTAATTCATTCATTTATTTTAGTAAAATGCAAATGTTTCAATGATTTTTTTTCTTTCAAGTTTTGAATTTGGCGTTATTCATTTCAAAATTTCAATACGAGATGCCGCCTGCAGTTCGGAGCTCAAGACTGGACTTGGGGACGGAGACTGGAGAGGCCCCTCCTCTCACTCATATCATTACAATCCTTGCACTTTGTTATTGGCTCGCGATGTGGTTCACGCGTACTCCGACGCTTCCCGCTCCGGAAACTTCAATGATTTTCCAAAAAATAATAATGCATCTCTTCTTATCACAGAGTTAAGTATTTTTTTAAACCCTTGAATTGTGATGTTGATGTTTCTTATTTGTTCAGCTACGAAAGTTCAAAAAACTTGTAGGGCGATCCAAAAGCTGAAAATTTGACTAAAAAAAATTAAAGCAAAAAATTCATCTGAATAAGCTTCAGGACACCAATATGAAGTGATCAGTTAGATGATATATTTATAATCCAATAAATAAATTAACTGTATTTTCGTTCCGTCATTCTCTCTCTTGTAGATGTTCAGTTTTGTAATGAATCAAGTTGCGCAGTTTATTTCAAAATCGAGCATCTGCCCATTTGTTTATTTTTGCCCGCAATTGGAGGAAATCGATCGTTCTCAGCACGCGGCGTTGCCAAGGAGACGCTCTTCCATATCTCGCTATAAAAGATGAGCAGCAGCCAGAAAATCTTAAATCATTAGAAATTATAAAAAAAATTTAGAATAAATTAGCTTTTAATGCTTTTAATTAGCTTCTTGCGTACAAATAAATAAAATGTATTTTCGGTGGTGTAAAAAACTCTTATCACTATCATTTTGAGATTCAAAGCTTCTAAGTTTTTTGCCACGAATCGAATTTATTGCATTCTATTTGAAAAATAATTCAATTTCTATGAATTTATCTGAAAAAGCAAGAAGACAACAATAATGTAAAATGTCCATCGAGATGATATGCAACCAGTGTTGCAGTTGTGCAACGCAGGTTGCATCTGCACAAAAAATATTTTTATTATATATGTATATGCATTTCATATTAAAAAAATCATGTAATATTTAAATAAATTAATATCTTTACAGAATGTTATATTATTTTCACAAACAAAAGGTGCTGATGCCGCTGACGGTATTGATCCGCTCTCTGGTAACCTTATTAATCACCATGGTTGCAACATTTTGAATAATCCAGGGCACAATTTATTGCCAGCATTTCGTTGACGAAATGCTCGAGTGCGATAATGGAATGTGTTTGTATACTGCTCGCAGACGAATCGAATCAAAATACTCTTAGAATATTCACTATAGGGAGGACTATTATGCAGATGAGCAAAAACTGTTCTTAACAAAAACTTGTTTAAGATGTTGACCTTCAGGAACTACGTACGTGTGTCGAAGCTCATTAGTCTCGATCGAGCACAGTTCGGCCGACATAGCCGCAGAACGTTGCCGATCCTTTGCTTATGCAACCCGCTTCACGTCCCCGCACCCTTCAGAACACGCTGCCGATAAATTCCGCTCGCACAATGCACGGCCGAGATATTGATTTTGAATTGTAACCTTAGTCAATCGCTATCAAAATTCACCGCGGCTGTTTCAAATTCCAACGCCGTACTTCAATATTATGGTTCTTTGACAACATAAGTATCAAAACAATCCCTTTTGTCTGGTGTCCTTGTGAAGATAAAAAGAATTAGATATTTAAAAAAATTCATTATTTTAATAAAATTTACAAATAATTTCAATGAAAATTGAATCATTGGCTCAATTTAATGAAATCGCAAATCAATACATGTTATTTTCACCCAGACTCAATTTTACACAAGAAAAGACAAAAATCAAGACGGCCATAAAATAAATTCTTATTTATCACGATTTGCTTCAAAGAAATCATAATTTTTATGTATTTTAACGGTTAAAATATATGATCTTATTAAATTAAATCATAAGAAATATGGATGAGGCTCATCATTTCTAAATTTTAATGTAAAACTACTAAATATCAAATAATCCAGTTTTTTTTATTATTAATTTGAAAAAATTAATATTACCTTTGGATTGATTCATTGCATGATGAAGTGAAGTTGAATTTACTGGAAAAAATATTTGCGCTCATCGTGAGCAAATCCTCGTTTTGCAAGCAGAGAGAAACTCTGATTTTTATTATTATGTTTGTATATTTATATGCGACGGTGCTTTTAGTGCTTGCGGCTTGGCTTTCCTGGATCGAAGCAGAGAAAATTCAATTGGGCGATGCTTTTAATAATATTATTCTGGCTCAGTTTCGCTGCCATTGGATCAGACATGCATGCGCGTAGAAATTATTTAATTATTTCGCGAGTATAAAATGCGTGGCGCCCATTTTGAGCTCCACTCGATCGCGTCCTTTGACCACTTCACACCGCATCGGCACCTCAGGTATGTTCTTATGCTTTCCTATTTTTTTCACAATCAGATCTAAAAAAAATCATTTGATTAATTTTAATTTTTCGCTCTTTGCTGATTTGTATGTGCAGAATTTATTTTTATTTTTTCATTTGTTAAGAAAAGTGTACAAATTAAGGAAAATATTTCAATTTTTAATTCATTATCAACAAAATATAATTTTTTTTTGGTAGAATTTCACGATCGAGGGTTGATTCATGGTGATTTAAATTTAAAATCGGCTTTTCCTCGATGGGTGTTTGTGAGAATAATATCCTAATTTTACTAATTTTTGTCAAAATAATTTACGGCTCAGAATTATGGTTGCAGCCCGCAGCCGAAACATAGAGCAGGATATTGTTTTTCTGAAACAATATAAAACTCACAAAAACCCATCGTGGGAAAGCCGATTTTAAATTCAAAGCACTATAAAAATAAATATAAATTATTTTCATAAATGTTGATAAGTAATTATCAGAAAGCCAAATATTTTGAGGTATCGTTTTTCTCCGCAACTAATTCTAGTATTTTTCAATTTATATTTCCTACTAGATTCCGATTTTGTGAAAGATTTTTTTAAATTTCTAATCAAACCCTGTCTTTCTTTCTAATTTGTGAAGAGCAAACTTGTCCCAACATGCCACCGAAGGAAACCGACATTCTGCAAAAGAAAATGGATACGGCCAGCTTCAAAATCACCATCACCTGGCTGCTGCAATTATCGCTCCTTGTCCTTATGATCGGGCTCAGCTTCTCTTTCTTTGGGGCGACGCCAGATTCCTTTCAAAAACTTCAATCGGCGACGTCTGTGCAGCGCCAGGTGTTTATTTTTTTTTAAATTTATTTCTATTATTTGCGGTTGCATGAAAAATACGTTCATGAATAATTATTGTTTTTCTGCCATCTTTTGTGTAAAAAGAAAATGAGGAAAATAATTATTGTTGCAGTTTGATCAATTTGGGAACAACAGCCGCAAATTTCTTGAGAAACAAGCTCGGAACTCCACTGCTATGAACAATCAGCTGAAAAAAATATCCCGGTAAGTATTCACTAAGCTATGTAAAAATGGGATAATCAATTTTAGGAAAACATACAGTATGACGAATGATTTTGGATAAATATGAGTTAATGTTTATAAAAAATGGTACAAATTTCTCATTTTTTGAATCCGTTGATTGCAATTTGATTTAATTTTATTGTTGATTTAGTTCGCAGATGATGGAACTGACAAGCGAGGCCTTCCTTGATATGCTGCACTTGATCAAATGGGTCGCCGTCGCTTCAGTGCTCAACCTATTTTTTCTGGCAATTCTTTCCTTAGCCCTGTCAACAAGGCAGATTAGGGAATTATTAACCAAAAAAATCCGTCGTGAATCCGATGAATTTAACGAGACATTATTATAAAGAGCTCATTGAATGAAAATGATCGTAGTAGTTGTTGCCCTGCCCGACCTCTGGAGCAGGATAGAAAATTTTTGATCTTTGTTAGCTAGAAAGAAGAATAATCACGCAAAACTCGAGGAAGAAGAAAATCAAATGAACTGGCTGTAGAAAATAACCGAAATAAAAGAACATGAAAAAATTGTCAACCTATACTGATTTTTCTCTTCATAATTCCAGAAAATCTTGTGACGTAGCCAATAATCAACCAACAAGATACATTTAAAAAGTCTTTAATTAAATTTTCCAGGGCTAAAATAAATAGCGACGACTATACAAATATATAATTTTAAACATTTTATTTAAATCTTAACTATTTTTGTTCCGTTATTCTCTTGGAAACGATCAGATTTTTGTATTATATATTGTGCATTGAGCAGTTTATTTGACGAATAAGCACCTACTCATCTGTCAGTTTTTACTCGTCTTTGGAGGGAATCGATCGTTCTGATCACAACGTTGCCAAGGAGATGCTCTTGTCTCTCTTGCTCTGCGGTTAGATAAATTTGAGGAACCGCCGCACAGACATAAATATCAAATTTGAAATAAGGAAAAATTAGCATTTACGAACTGTTCATGAATTCGTAATATTTATTTTCAGCGGTGCAATGAGACTTTTTTCTTATGAATAAATTTAAAGTAAAGCGGCTTTTATTAGCGCGTTATTCACTTCAAGATTTTGAAAAAATTTTTGTCAAAAAATCAATAAAAGCTGTTCATGGAAAATTCAATTTAGAATTAATTTCGAGTCGTTTCAGTGGCATCATTATTGATCGATGCCCTTCTTCCACCCCCTCCCGCTCGCTCTCCGGCTGTAAAAAATGCGCGCCTTGGCAAGTTAAGCTCTCTCGAAAGCGAAAAGGCTCTAAATTAATAGGATTAATATATTCCGAATTTCGCTAAAATTAGGTTATATTAATTCCTAAGTCTGTAATTTTTAATTTTCTCTCCTTTTTTCTAATTTCGAATGGAAAAATTCCCCCGTTGTCTCGCTCAAAATGATGGTGGCGAAGAAAATGACGCTGACATTAAACCAGAGTCTTTTGTAGAAAATTTAATTTCCTTTGTTTTTTCCGAAAATGGGCGCGGCAGAAGAGGACATCCTTTTTCGCGCTTCGATTGCGTCACGCCCCGGAATCAGAGGCACTAACCAAATCTCACAAGAGCGGGCAAAGGAAAAGGAGCGCAAGAAATATAAAAGATCGACGGAGAAGGCTCGAGGCGCAAATTATTTTGAGCGCGAAAGAATATATTTAATTTTTAATGAGGCTTTCGGACCATTCATGCAGTGTTTTTTTTTTTTTTTTTTTTTTTTTTTTTTTTTTAAATAAATGATTTAATTTTAACCAACAAAATAATATATCGAAGCAAACAAGAACTCTCAAATTGACTCGTTTACGGCATGTGTGGCGTGTTTAGCAGAGTTTTAAACATACAAATCAGCCTTAATTATGAACCTCGCAGGTCAATTTAAAAAGCGAGAACAAAGAAGGGAACTTTTGCCTTTCCGTCGGCGAGTCTGACTGGCTTGCGAGCTGCTCTGCCAAGTTCGTCTTCTCACGATGCATTTCGGCCGATTTTTGCTTTTTTCGGGCCGAATTTGGGCTCAATCTTGACCCCGACGAGACACGATGCACTTGGTAAACAAAGAATACGCCATTACTAATCATATTTGGGAGAAAAGCAAACCGACAAAGTTGTGCCGAGGGAATGAATCAATATATCTCGCTGTGATTGAACGTTTTAATGTATTGGCGATCCAAAAGCTCATAATAACATATCTAGAATAATTAAGGCATGAGGAAAATCGCGGTGTGATTTAGTTTTTGATCCGAGCAGCCGTTGTCGCGCTAAAGAGCAGAAATACGCGCTGGCCTTGCTTGTCGCTCAGCTCTCTTCTCGCTTGCCTGCTGCACTCGATTCGCGCGAATATAATATTTTATTAGTTGGCGTTGAGACAAATCTTTCAAATTTTCAGCATCGCTAGCCATCTAAATTATATAATTTTTTACTGAAGTACATACAAAAATAATTTATCTGGAGCAATGTTATTGACGTTTCCGCGAGAATTTAGTTCTTTGAATTATTGGATAAGAGAGAAAATTTAAAAATGCAAACCTGTTCAGAAAATTGTAACTATTTAAACTCTCTATAATTTCTTCTAAAAAATTATTTCATTGAACTATATTGAGCTGTTTTTAAATAAAAAATTATAAACGGATGCCACCTAAAACTGCTGTAGATGCCGATTAGCAAGTTTTAGTCCGTACGCTCTTATACTTCAAAACGGGTCAGCATATTTTGATGAAATTAAATTTCCAATTGATTGGCTATCTCAAATAAAATAAAAGAAAAATTCAATGAGAAATGGTAATGAGGGCGATCCAAAAGCCTAACCTGGCCCAGGCTAACTTGACTTTTGTATCGCCCTCAAATATGTTTTTACTTTGATCATCCCGTTGGCTAATGAAACAATTTTAATTTTCACAACAAAACGTTTATGGACGAGATTGTAGTCAATATAAATAGCTACAATTTTCTGTAAGAGTTTGCATTTTATTTTTTCTTTAATTTGAAAATTAAAAGAACTGAATTCCCGCGGAAACGATCATAACTGTGCTACAGATAAATGTGTATTTTCTTATGAACTAGAAATAAAAAATTATATAATTTAGATGGCTAGCGATGCTGAAAATTTGAAAGATTCGTCTCAACGAAGCGACAAGTATGTCTTTGAGCATTCACAATTCTTCTATCGATCGCGGCGGTTGTTATTTTAGTGCAAAATTATGGCAAGGATATATTCTAAAATCTTCATTAAATCCCTTATTTTTAATTTAATTAATATCCACATAGGTCGACTGGCCTATTCAAGGAAAATCGGTTACTTTTTTTCCAAAATCCAGCCCTTTATTTAGCAGAGAGTAATTTTTTCCAAATTTCAGCCTAGGTACGTTATAATTAGGTACTAGGTGACTTTGTAAAAATATTTCCTTAATTTTATAGATAAATTGAAAAATTATTGTTCCATTAATTTTGTGCCTCATAACTTTCAAAATTTATTCTCAATTCTGCAAAATAAATGGTAAAAATATGTCTAGAAAATATCAAACTGATTATATATAAAAAGAAATATTTAACTACAAGTGAATTTCAATTAATTAAGCCGTCTGAATGTTTATATCTTGAATCTTTCTAAAAATTTTCAAAGCTTGTAATCAAATTATAGTGTTTCATCATCTCAAAAATCCAATTTTCTTAATAATCATAGTTGATTAGCGTGTTTCATATATTATTCTGACATTGAACTGCAGAAATTATTTTTATCAATGCCTTACATTTAAAAGGTTATTCTTATTACTTATAATTTTTCAAGTCTTTGTGCAAGTTGGTTGAATGAAAAATTGGTAGGTAACGCTTGCTTGGTCGTTTCGGCAGTGGAGATGTTTGGATTTTGCGCGTAGCAATGGAAGTGTGGGGAGATACAGGGGTGGTTCACCCCTCCGATCGCGCCCCATTCACTGTGTCAGTGTGTCAGTCTGCGGAGAGTGCTTGCACGCGACGGACGCACAACTCATCATCTCGCTCCGGCTTTCCTCCCAGACTTGCGAAAGGTAAGATCAAATTTTGAATTTTTTTTATAGAACTAAAAATTACCTTTAGCGTGAAATAAATTGAAGGGCGGCACGTCTAATTATTCACCGAGTCAAAAGTTAAATTAATGCCAGTCTGAGGTTCACACCAACTATTGGCTCATTTTCTAAGATTTTAGATTTCTCAATGCATAACTCCGCGCGGCTAAGTGAAAAAGTTCCTTTGAAAGGTGGCTTTTTTTAGCTATTTTTCTTATTCGTTGTACGAACGTGAGATGATCATCAATCGATAGGAAATTTTATAAAATTTCAAGTTTTCTCAAATTTGGACAATTTTGGTGCACGAAATTTCAATTTTTAAACGAATGCCAATATTACGTCAAATTTGTTTTATTTTTTTGGCTCCGAATTTTCATGTTATTCGCTCGCATATATGTACGAAGAGTAATAAACACAATGGCAAAAGCATGAAAGGTTTGAAATTAGTGATCAAGCTCTCGCTAGATGCATCTAGTAAGTTCTCAATGTAAATCAAATGGGTGGGTGGGTTTTGCACGACTCTCCCAGGGCTGCGACCCGTACTATAAAAAGCGCTCCGTCCGCTGGCTCGATGCAGAAGGCTGACAGACCTCAGAGAAATCCGAGGGCACCTGGACACCACCTGGACACCCAGTGCAGTTTCGGACACCCGTCCGAGCTGTCCCAAGGCCCCGACCGCTGTCTCGTCCCGACGCTGTCTCGTCCGAGGACAGCCGGAAGACCGACCGCGTCCCGAGCCCCTCGAGCGACCCACCTGTGTCCCTCGTACTGTCCAGGGTGCGGCTGAGCCGTCCGAAGCCGTACGGAGCAGCCTTTTGCCAGGTAAGAGAGATTACAATTGTCTCTCCCTGAGGCCTTCTTTTGGCCGAAAGGTCAAACCACTACGTGGGACGGAAGTACAGCCGAGTGACCCATTGTTTTTGTCCCCAGCTCCTTCCTGTCCGAGGAATCGGGCGCCGACGTGGCACGCCGCCAGCGAGCGTTCGGACGAAGGCGTCCGAACGTCCGCCGCCAGAGACCCGCACGCCGTGGGCCCCGGCCGCGCCGAGAGCCGCCGCCGACCTGCAGGGAGCCGCCCGGGTTCCCAGCAAGGACGTTTCCAGGGCAGCCAGCCGGCACACCCAGGGAACACCGCTCCCATTTGTTGCTTTCTAAGAGACATTAAACGAACAATTTCGAGTCAGTGAATTTTAAACATTCTGCCAAAATTGTTGTAAATAAAATAAAGCCCGTGTGTAAGCCAACCCATATTGTTTAAGGACTTCTTATTGACATAGTCAAATCAAGTCCTTGCAACAATATAAACAGATTTTTGCGATTGTTGAAAGACAATTGGAAATTTTAATCACCATTGTTGTAAAGACTTGATTTGACTATGTCAATAAGGAGTCCTTAAACAAATACCCCAGAACAATAGAGAAAATTTAAACAATATAAATAATTTAAACAATATAAATTATTAAACAAT